ATCTGGACTCGGGTTCGACCCCGGGGCCTACCCCCCAGTCACTCTCTCACCAACCCCTTTCCCCCAGTCATGTACCACTGTCACTTCTTCCCCCCCCCCCCCCCCCCCCCCCCCCCCCCCCCCCCCCCCCCCCCGCCGCCGCCGGGGATGCTCAGTTATACTATATATATATATATATATATAAACCGGGCCGTATCAGACTAAAAACCGAACAGCACTTTATCGGCAACAAGGCTATCTTCATCGACAAGGGAGAAGACGAGCTGCATATTCTGTACTCGACAAGAACGACGGTCCTCTCGCTATTCCTACCCATCCTCGTCCTGCTGCTGGCCTTCCTCGCCGTAACTACCAACGACCGCGTGCAATGGTGGCGGATCGGCCTGTCCGGGTTCCTCTCGGGCAGCGCCATCTGCGGCATGCACTACCTCGGCAACGCGTCCATCGAGAACTACCGGTGCGAGTACGCCGTCGCCAACATCGTCGGCGCGGCCGTGATCGCCGTCGCCGCGTGCACGATAGCCCTGTCGCTGTTCTTCGTCATGCAGGCCGCCTGGACCATCTCGTGGTGGCGGAAGATTGCGTGCGCCATGCTGCTCGCCGGCGCCGTGTCCGGCATGCACTGGTGTGCCGCCGTCGGGACCAAGTACCGGTTGCTGCACCTCTCCACCGGCCTCGCCGGCATATCCCGCGAGACGACCATCATCGTGGTGATATGTCTGGTCAGTTACCCCCCCTCCCTGTCATATCCGCAGGCCGAAAGGTGTTGATCCTAACCCCCGAGATAGTCTGTTGCGGCGTGTATCATCTTGGTTGCCAGTGTCATCTACTCTGCTCGGGCCCGGCTTCGCTATGCTACAAAGGCACAACTGATAGTTCTCGCTACAGCCGTGTTTGACAAGCGAGGCAGAATCTTGGTCAATCAGGACGGCCTGCTCCCTAGCGAGGTCATCACCGACACGATCATCCAGAAGGTTATTATTAACACTCCCAGAGAGAGAGAAAAGGGGACTTTTGCCCCTCGGCGGTTCCTGAGACTGACATGTTTGCAATTCATGACATAGTCAAGCAATGACGTCTTCGGCACCACGCACCCGCTCTTCCACTGGATGTTCCGCGCATCCCGGAATTGGCCGAGCATTGTGAATTTCCTCGACGGCATGGCAAGCCACGTAGCCCATCTCCCGACCGTCAGTCGGGGTAACAGGACGCACCTCACGTTGACCGGCACGGACGGTCAGATGGCCGAGAACTACGACCTCATCCTGCGCGAGCGCTTCTGCCTCGCCGCCGCGGCACTCGCATCCAAGACCAACAACTCCTTGTCGGGTGCCGGTGTCCTGTGGGACGAGATCTTCCCAACCGGCGGCCCGGCGCTCTCGAGGAGAGCCGAGAAAGAGATCGACGAGGCCGAGAGGGGCGTGGGCAAGAGGCAGCAGGAGTACGGCCGGGGATCTCTCATGTTCCTGGTGCGCCATGTCGACAACGAGCGCGTCGCGCAGAACCTCGAGACCATCGGATACCGGTTCGTCGAGCAGCACCAGGTCGCGGGCATCATCCGCTCGAGCATGCAGATCAAGAGCGCCGACTTTGGCGAGAAGCTGGGCCACATGGCCGCGTACGCCGAGAACAAGGCCATGCTCGCCCCGGGAGTCCACGTCGGCATGTTCGCCGTCCGCGCCCGGCTGGACTACGGCGGCTTCGACGTCCTGGTCAACAAGGACCGCAGGAACGTCCTCCCGACCATCAGGCTGCCGACCGACCACCTCGAGCGGTGGCAGGCGGAGCTCCTCCGCCGCCTCGACGGCCTGAAGATGCCCGCCGTCCTGCAGCACCTGGACGACATGGCGGACGGCCCAGAATTAGAACGGCAATTTGCGTCCGAGCTGCACGACGCCATCACCGCTCTCAGAGACTTGCTCGAGGACGCCGTGTTCGAGGACGCGACGCTCATCTCAAAGGTCATGCAGGTGCCCTGCTCCGCCGTGAGCGGCAACTCGCGGCCCCTCGCGTCGCTCATCGCGTTCAGGCTCGTCCTCGGCATCCACCACAGCGCCAACCGGGCCAAGTTCGACTTCAGCCCCCTCCAGCTGTTCAAGGTCCAGCAGCTCGTCGACCTGGGCTCGCAGCACCAAGTCGCCTTCTCTCACGCCGTGCACCGCGAGCTGTCGTCCGTCCTGGGCGCAAGGGCGCCACCTGCCGCGGCACCGACTGCGGCAATGACCGACCACCTCCACCTCAACCATCGCCAGGGCCGCATGGCAGCAGCCTTCCGGCGGGTGCCCCTGTTCGGCGGCAGGTCGCGGGCGGTGGCGGGCGGCCACCAGGCGGCGGGCAACTCCAAGCACATGTTTGCGACGAGCCAGGAGCGGCTGTCGGCCTCGTCGTTCAGCCACGGCGGCGACCAGAGCAGCTACGACGGGGACGCCAAGTCGCCGTCCTTCGACCGCGACGTGCCGCTCGAGAGCCTCAACAGCAACGGCAACAAGAAGCAGCAGCAGCAGCAGTTCGGCGGCATCATGGTATCGCAGCAGATCACCGTCAATGTCGACCGGGCTGGCCACTCTGTAAGCCGGGCACAACTGCCCCTCCCCCCGAGAGCATGGCATTGAAGATACTAACGGTGGGGACTTAGGAATACTCTAATAGCGTAAACGGCGGCAACGGAGATCGAGCCGAGAACGCCAGCGATGGCGCCGGGATGGATGGTTCTGCTTCGGGGTTGTCCAAGCTGTACACCGGACCCGAGGTTAGGGCCCTGGATGTCGAGGCGGAAAGGACGGAGGAGAAGTCGACGTTTGTGGATGAGCTCATCGCACTATGTATGAACCAGCAGCCGTAGCGGGCGGGATATAAGCATGCATGTAGATATAGAATCCGTGTATACTTTGTGTGTATCCTTGTATCGCCTCTTCTCTAGCGTTTGAGATCCCACCTCCTGCCCAATCCTCGCAACAGGAACCTTGAGGGCCTTGTAAGCTGGGATGACCAAGCACTCCGGGTTACGTAGAATGGAATTCAGGACTGATGGATGGATAGTGGTCGGCAACGGCATGTATGACTATACCAGGATTAGGGATGGTTGGACTACATCTGAAGGACATGATAACCTCAGACACAGCGATCATGGCCTTCAGATGTCCTCTTTGGTCATGGTGATCTCAGGCTCTTCTGTTTCACCCTCGACTGACTTGTCCCTCAAGAGTGTGGTGATTCGAGTCAATATATTAAAGTCAGAAGATCGCCGCCAGTGGAGGCGATAGGTCAAGTATCCGAAGTTTCGTTTGCACCATTACCAATCTCTCACTGTGGTAAAATGCCATAATTGGTCTTTTCTAACAACAACAGGTAGAATGATTCAGGATTGCAGTAGCGAGGGATGGAAGGACGGGGCACGCCGAGGGTGGTCGAAGAGAGGGTAGTATTATAACGCCAGAGAAGCCCACAGGCAAGCCAAACCCAAACCCTAGGCCCGAATTTAACAATGCCTTCACCAGATAATCAAGACGCTGTCAGTTTTGAGGCAGTGTGATGTTGTCCTGGAGAGAGTGAAAACTGAGCAGGGACCAACCCTCCAAATTCCCGTACCCTGATCACGTGTGCGGAACGATATTGCCCACGGTGGTGAAGAGATGTTGAAGATGTTTAGAGCACACTGGTGCATCCAATTGAAGAGATCTTTAACTCGAATATCCGTCCGTCAATAGAGCTTGATGGATACTTTAGCGTCGCTAGGTCCCGATTATATGCCGAACTTGCGGCATGATGTCCGGAGCGAAAGCGGAACCCCCGACCAATAGAAAGCCCCGCAAATGTCGATTGGCCAATCTAGTGTGGCCAGAAAAGCAGAGCCGACTCCGCTCGGGGCAAGTTCGCGCGAGATGCCGTCCGCTTTACCAAATCCATTAAAAGGATGGCTGGCAATTGGGGGCCGGAGGCCTTAAGGGTTTCCCCTCGCAACTGATACTCTCTCCCAACTTTTCTGAACCACGCTGGATGAGGCCCAGCAGCAAAAAAGATGTCCAAGGTCTACAGCGCTGAGGAGGGTAAGTAAATCTACCCAAGGAAGCAAAGGAGACACCGCCGCAAGGAAACGCACGCTGACTTCCTGTTTGCCCGTTGTTTCACAGTTGCCAAGCACACATCGCAAGAAAGTTGCTGGGTGATCCTATACGGGAATGTCTACGACGTGACCGAGTTTCTGCCCTCACACCCGGGCGGCTCCAGGATCATCCTGCAGCTCGCGGGCCGGGATGCCACCGAAGAGTACGACCCCATCCACCCGCCAGGAATCCTCGAGGAGAACCTCAAGCCCGAGGCGAAGCTGGGAACCGTCGACCCGGAGAGCCTGGCAAAGATGGAGAAGCAGAGGGAGGCAGAATCACAGTCACGGAAGCAGGCCAGCGGCAGCAGCAGCAGCAGCAGCAACGACGCCGAATCCGCCGCCGCCCCGCCGCCCCTACACATGCTCCTCAACCTAGACGAGATCGAGGCCGTCGCCAAGACGCAGGTCTCCAAGAAGTGCTGGGCCTACTACTTCTCTGCGTCGGACGACCTCTTCTCCAAGTCGTACAACAACGCCGTCTTCCGGTCGATCCTGCTGCGCCCGCGCGTCTTCGTCGACTGCACCTCTGCCTCGACGGCGACGACGCTGCTGGGCCGGCCCGTCGGCACGCCGCTGTACGTTGCGCCCGCGGCGATGGCGCGGCTGGCGCACCCGGACGGCGAGGCCGGGATCGCGCGGGGCATCTCGTCATTCGGCGGCATGCAGGTGGTCAGCAACAACGCGAGCATGACGCCCGAGCAGATCGTCGCGGACGCGGCCCCCGGCCAGGTCTTTGGCTGGCAGCTGTACGTGCAGACGGACCGGCTCAAGTCCGAGGCCATGCTGCGGCGCATCGGCGCCCTGCGCGAGCACTTCGCCTTCGTCGTGCTGACGCTCGACGCCCCCGTGCCCGGCAAGCGCGAGCTCGACGAGAAGAGCAACCTCGAGAGCCAGGAGGCCGTCCAGTCGGCCAGCAACGACAAGTCCGAGGCCGAGAGGCGGCCCGGCGGCGGCGGCGTCGGCCAGCAGCTGTTCTGGGGCACGGCCGCAGACCTCACCTGGCAGACCACGCTGCCCTGGCTGGCCGAGCACACCGACCTGCCCGTCGTGCTCAAGGGAGTGCAGACCCACGAGGACGCGTATCTGGCGGCGCAGTACGCGAGGCAGCACCCCGGCAGCCTCAAGGCCATCATCCTCTCGAACCACGGCGGCAGGGCGCTGGACACGGCGCCCCCCGCGATGCACACCCTCCTGGAGATCCGCAAGTACTGCCCCGAGGTGTTCGACTCGATCGAGGTGTGGATCGACGGCGGCGTCAAGCGCGGCACGGATGTGGTCAAGGCACTGTGTCTCGGGGCGAAGGCTGTCGGTGTTGGGAGGGCGGCGCTGTGGGGGCTCGGTGCCGGTGGCTGGCAGGGCGTCGAAAGGACGTATGAGAGTGAGTCTCTTCTTCTCGACTACATAGGATTCTCATATCCTCACTTATCACGCAATACTGGCGATGCCATTCGGGAAAAGACTTAAGGCTAACCCACGCGGCAGTCCTCCAGGGCGAAATCTTGACGTGTATGAAACTGCTCGGCGCGAAGACGGTGGCAGACCTGGGACCAAGATTGGTAAGAACCTCCCTGCCCCCCTCCCCCACTTCACATGCTGCCAACCGTGGCCGCTTCAGCCCACCGACTAATATCAATTTGCGATCTTCAGGTCAACGCTCGGATGCTCGAACGGGACATCTTCGACGGGGGAGCGGGCTTGGACAAGTCGGGGCTATGGACGCCTAGGCCCAAGCTATGACCTAGCCAAGGCTTTCTCGCCCATGGGGTGTTAACCCATTAGGTGTTGACCGTGATGTAGATCTGCGCGGGTTAGGTCCCCTGTCTGGGGAGGATTCGGGGTGCAGCATGCCAAGCTGGCGGGGAAGCCGAGGTTGGGCTCCGCAACAGAGAAGCACGTGGTATGAGGAAGGCTCAAGATCTTCTGTCAAGTCCCTTTTCTTTGCGTAAGGGCATGTATTTATGGAAAGAATCGGCAGTGTGTCGATGAATTCCATCCCCTTTGGATTATTAGTATTTTGTCATGTATCTGCTCTAGAGAATCCACGGCATGGAGGCTTTATCTCCACCCCGGCTGGCGTCCCTGATTCGAGAATATCGGCTCGTATTGGCGGGGGAAACCCCTAAATTGGATGCCTCCAGGGCCTCACCCCCGGGTTCAATATTCATCTGATCTGATCATGGGCAGTCTTGGCCTTGGCTGAGATGGGATGTAAGACGGCAACAAGGTTAACCCTAACCCCCAAGCTCCCTTTTCCTACCGACATAGTATGTGTCCAACCCCTGTGTGCTATTTCCGCCCGTTTCAAGGCGGATCGATCAATGGGATCGTTAAGCCGCACGATTTGCCAAGCGGGTATTTTGCTGTGATTGGTTTGTGTCGTGAATGAGTGTGGGATCAAGCCAGGAAGGCGCGGCTGGGCCATTGGATTAAAAACACTGCTCCGTATTTTACGGTGAAACAACCCTGCCTGCCTTCCAAATCTCCGAACTGGAGCCGACAGGTATCAGTTGAGACCTGCCACCGCCACTACATGCTGCATATGGCTATACGCCGCCTGACAGGCCAATGAAGTGACCTTTTCAATCTATCATGGTCTCGAGTATAATCAGAAGAGGCGGAAAGGAGTAAGCAGGAGGCAGGCACTGGCAGGGTGGTTGGAATTCGTGATAAGCCTCGGTGCTACCAAGTCGGTCGCAGGCGATGGAGTGGCAATCTTTCTTGCAAGGGGTGAGAGGGGCAAACACGAACTAAAAGATTTCCATTTTTCTCCCGCAAGCTGCACAAAGTACTAGCTAGCACACGGACCGACCGACGACCTGTGTCATCCACCCCGTTGCCCAGCTTGTTTTTTCGACCTCCCCCTCATTGGCGATCCTGCAACGATCACCTCTCTATTGGCCAGTTTACAGCCCCCGACTGCGTTTTTCTGGCATGTGCTCATGCGATGCCGAGGATTCCCAAAGCAAGGCTAGTTCTTCCCCATACAGCCGTGCAGGGGGTTTACCAGGGTGGTAGTCGATCACCGGGCTTGCACTGCTGCCCGATGACATCCAACAAGGCAGGCGGGGCACCCTGGCTAGAAATTGTTTCGGTCACCTCCGCATCTGGCAGTCCAGTCCGGTGAGGCCATCCCAAAAGCCAATTTACGCACTCCACTCCCTAGTGTGTGGCCCGCACTAGCGGGTGCAGCCCGGAGATGGACCCGGGTTGGTTCGAGGGTCGAGCATCTCGAGCTCTGGATGGCTGTTGGCTAGGGTACTAGTAGTAGGTCTGCAGTTCGTCTGCGCAGGACTGGGCAAGGAAGAAAGAAGCAGCATGGTCGCATCGAGACCAATGCTACCATGGCCTAGTTAAATATAATCATCGGCCATTCCCACTCTCCCTACCCTTGTCCTACCACGGCTCCCTTTGTCTTACTCTCGTTCTCGTCCGCCGTCAACTCTCCAGCCACCAATCGCGACCTCTTCTCTTGCGCTGTGATCTGTGATCAACTTTCCCGAGGCGCATTGGGTTCTCGACGACTTGTCTAACACGTCATTGACTGGGCTGCCAACGGCAGAAACAGCAGCAACGATGGCAGAGGAAAAGCCCGTTGTCGCCCAGCAGGAGTATGGCACGCCGAGGAAGGGGGGCAAGGTCCGTCGCCATTGCGCCAGGTGGTGGTGGGTGCATCTGATCGTGTTCATCCTCATCGCCCTGCTGGTCGTGCTCTTGGTGTAAGTGCCTGCCTACCACCCGGCCAGCTAAACATCTCGGCCCGGGCTGTGTGCTCCTTCCGGGTGTAGCCATGACATGAGATATATCGCGTGCTCACACATGTCTCCCAGCATCTTCGTCGCCATTCCCAAGATCGCCCAGAAGAAGATCAACGAGGCGCAGCTGGCTGTCCAGGGGATCTTGATCACCAACACGCAGTCCGACAACTACACCATGGCCATCAACAGCACGATCCACGCCAGCAGCCCCGTGCACGCGACCATTTCCCCATTCAAGGGGCAGATGTACCTTGAGGATCTGGAGCCGCATACTCCCTTCGTCGAGCTCGACTTCCCCCAGACCACTTCCGACCCGGAGCAGCTGGTCAACACCACCCAGTTCGTCACCATCACCGACATGGACGCCTTCACAACCTTCAACAAGTTCCTCTTGACCAACGAGACCCTGCGCGTGACCCTTTCTGGGAAAACCCACGTCAAGGTCAAGGGCATCGCCAAGAAATTCAGCGTGAACTTCAAGAAGACGATTACCATGCCCGGTATGCTTGAGTGAACTCCCGGGTGAGGCCAAGCTCACATTACTGACGTTAAAAACGCAGGACTCCGGAACTTTGAGGGAACCACCGTCTCGGACACGACAATCTCATTGACGCCAGACGAGAACGGCGACAACTTCAAGGGCCTTGTCAACATCCCTAACCACTCCATTGTGAACTTCGAGATCGTGAGTATTTGCTATATCCCGTGCGCTGTTTCGTCGTGACAACCTCGTATTAACCCCCCTTCCCCCCCCATGCAGGGCAACGCCACCTTCCACAACTACCTCCTCGGCGAGGAGATCGGCACCGTCTTCGTCGACAACATGATCCTCCGGCCGGGCCTTAACAACACCTTCGCCATGCGCGCCAACATCAAGCAGGCCCCCGTGCTCACCGCGATGGGCAAGAAACCCTACTGCGACACCGGCATCCTCCCCTTCCAGATGCGCGGCAAGACGGTCCTGAACCACGGCCAGCCCCTGAGCTACTATGCCGACTCCCTCGCCAGCACCAACCAGACCGTCAACATCGACATTGCCACGCCCCTGAAGAAGGATCTCATGATGGACATCCCCTGCAGCAAGAACCAGTAAAGGGGAGGATACGTCCAGAAGTTGAGCGTATGGCTCGTTTGCCGTGGTTGGCTTGGATAGGAGATCCCGGCTGGGGAACGACGTTGGGTATGACGGCGGCACATGTGAATTCGTGCCGATTTGTGTATTTAGGTCCTATAATCTGTTCAAATGATACCACTTAGTGAATGTAACAGAATGAAGGCCAAAACCGCCCGGATGGATGCAATGTTTTACCACCGGTAGCCCAAGGAGGAGTGTGATTGTTCGAGTAGAGGAGATCCGGTAGAAAGGAACGCCCGTTCTTCAAAAGAGCCCCGTTACGCAACCGCTAGAGATGACATGGCCGTGGGTGGAATGGTCCATTTGGTCTCAACCGTGTCCCAAAAAGTGCCAGTGCTATTGAGGACCAACTTCTTCCTCTGATGAATTCAAGTCCCGTGCCCTGATTTACAGAGAAGTCGTGCGGGTATCGACGATTTCCAGTCCAGCCTCAGCAGCAAACCATACCGTACCATACGCCTTCACGCCCATGGATGCTTTCCCCATTTCTATTATCTTCAGACACCCCAAAAAGAGCCTCCAAGGTGGCCCCGAATAATCAACCCGAATCATTCACGGCAGCAGGTAGCACCAGGGAGATACCCGGGGCTCACCCCCTCAAGCATCAAACCTCGTCTTCCTCTTCCCCGTCACAGGCGCCACGCCCCCACCCGGCGTACCCCCCCTGGACCCCCCAGCCGGCACGAAATCCACCGCCTCACCCCTCCCCCTCTCCCTCTCCCGCTGCGCCCTCTCCTGCGCCCTCCTCAGCGGCGCCCTGGCCGCCCATGCGGGGAACGCGGCCGGATCCCAGACCCCCGCCGACAGCGTGGTGGCGTACTGCCCTGCCGCCAGCAGAACGCCCTCCCCATCCCCATCCCCATCCCCCGCGGCGGCCCCGACGCCCGCAAACCCGAGCAGCTTGTCCATCAGCGCCGGGTTGCGCAGCGCGCCGCTGCCCGCGAGCCGCGCGTTGAAGTGCGCCGGGGCCAGGTCGCCGCGCCGCCGCTTCATCTCCAAGAGGGTCTCGAGGCGGGCGTTGAGGGCGTCCAGGCTGGCGGGCCGCGGGGGCGACAGCGGGATGTCCATGTCGGGGACGGCGGGGAGGGTGAGGTCGCGGAGGAGGGCTCGGGCTGCCGAGGTGGGTGACCGTGGCGGGTCTTGCGGTTGCGCGTCTGGGTCTAGGTCCGCGTCCGGTTCTGGGAGGGGGGCAAGGGGTGTGGTGATGGCAGTGGTGGTGTTGGGGGTTGTCGTCGAAGATGTGGATGGTGGTAGGGAGGGGCCTAGGGCTGGGCCCATTACGGGCCCGAGTGCTGGCCCCGGCGCGGGGGCCAGTGCTGAACCTAGTGCCAAGCTCTTTTCTCTTGGTGGCTCTGTTGCTTTTGTGGAGGTTGATGATACAGGGGCTGCTCATATGTGTCAGTTCCGAAGAGAGCAAGTCCAATATGGAGCGGCAGGCACTCACCGGAGCCATGTTGTGGTTTCGCAACGGGCTTATTCTCAGCCGATGACGAGAGCTAACATCTTGTCCGTCAGTATTATGCTCTGTTTGCAAATGTCCCGGTCGTACCTTACCTGTGGTTGGGTTTCTTCACGGACATCCTCTTCCTCGTCACTGCTCTCGTATGCCACGAGGCCAGACATTTTTTGAATTAAATTCTTTCCAGATCCCTAGACCCCAACGATTTGTTTGTTTCAAGGAGTGTTATTTTCTCCAATTGACACACTCAGTGGTGATGTCGAGGTGAGGTGAATGGTTATCACGTGCAGAAACTGCCAGCCCCAAAATAATTAAGGCCTCAGGCAGCCATACAGCAAGGCAGCATCAGGACGCGAAGCTGTTGGAGCTTCAACCTCGTCTCAAGTGCCAGCCTTCCAGCTTACCAGGCCCTACGAAACTGACGAATACCGCCTCCATCGACGACCTGCCAATTTACATATTCCCTAGTCAACAGTCAACGATTCTACACCACTCACAAGAATCCTGATTCATCCGCGGTTCTCGCGTCTCTCACCTACAACCAGCCATGGATCACCGCCCACAAGCTTGGGGCCGTGTATGTCATCTGTTCCAGTCCAGCATCCCCAGCTGTCAATTCCGTCCTGTTCGACCTTTATCTAACGTTGAAAATCATCCTCTAGCCCAGAGACGACGTGTACGGTGCATACGATGCCTCCTATCTTAACGCCAGCGGCCCAAAACAGGCGACACAATCCCCCGTCGTCACCGGCACTTCAGTAATAGGCGTCAAGTTCAAGGACGGTGTTGTCATGGCCGCGGATAATCTGGGTAAGTCCCGTTGCTATTGCCGGCCTTCGCTGGCGCCCGCCTAGTTATCCTGCTTTCTCTCTCTCTCCAGTCCCCAATCCCAAGTCTCGCTATGGAGTCATCTTCCCCTAACCTCTCTGCTAACATCTTACCTTCTCCAGCCTCCTACGGCTCCCTCGCCCGCTTCACCGACGTTCCCCGCCTGCGAACCTTCGCAGGCACCTCGGTGGTCGGTTTCGGCGGCGACGTGAGCGACATGCAGTACCTCGACCGACACCTGACCGAGCTAGCCATCGACGAGGCCTACACCAACCCAGCCGACCCGTCCTCCTCCGCCGACGACGACGAAACCACCCCCGGCAGCCGCGGCGGCAGCACCCTCAACGCAGCCAACCTGCACAAGTACCTAACCCGCCTCTTCTACGCGCGCCGCAACAAGTTCGACCCGCTCTGGAACCAAGTCCTCGTCGCCGGCCTCGACGCCTCGGGGGCCCCCTACCTCGCCAGCGCCGACCTCCGCGGCACCGCCTTCGCCGCGCCCTCGCTGGCCACGGGCTTCGGCGCCATGCTGGCGCAGCCCATCCTCCGCCGCGCCGCGGGCACCGACGAGCAGGCTGCCTCGCTGTCGCGCGACGACGCCGTCGCCCTCGTCCGCGAGTGCATGCGCGTCCTCTTCTACCGCGACGCCCGCTCCCTCGACCGCTACAGCCTCGCTGTCGTCACCGCCGCCGGCGTCGAGTTGTCGGGCGACGAGACCCTCGGCAAGCAGAGCTGGGCCTTCGCCGAGAGGATCAGGGGTTATGGCACGCAGACTGTGTGAGGAAGGGAGGCGGTGTGTGTACATGCGGTAGGGGGAGGTGAGGTGGCAGTCCGGTGGATTTTCCGTTGCCGGGAGGACGGTGGTGGTGGTGGCGGTGGTGACCTGCTTTTGCTCAAGGCAGGGCAGGGAAGGGAGAACGAATGGGGAGGGCCTTCCTGTACCAATGTTCCTCATTTCAAACACCCACCTTTCCGTCTAGGCGGGTAGTCGGGGTGGTTTCCCTACATCGAAGGAGGTACTAGCTTGGGACATACATAACACGACGGCTGGGAGCGAGATCATCGAGGTCTCGATACATGCATGGGAAGCGGAGACGTCCTACATGTGATAGAGCTGATAAAGGAGAGAATACTGGTTGTATCACTAGCAAAATCCGGATTTCATCCTTTCTACTTGGCAACAACCATTTCTCAGGTTTCTTGGTATATTCCTTCCTCTCTCCATGCCCTCCTCCCGTGACAAATGTGTGGGGGAACTCGTCTAAACCAATCCGGCATCCACCCACTATAGCAGGGCCAGTGTCCCGTCATATGAGAACCCCTGGTGGTCCTTGCGATTTGTTGAGATTACCTGCGCCTTCGCTGATTCCATAGCTTTTCTGTTGCGCACATACCAACAACTCCAGACCGCCCAGGTTTCCTATGCTAAATACTCGTACAAGGCAAAAGCAAATCGTCCCTTCTTGGCTTGCTGGATCCCCGCCTGCCGCCTCTCTTCAAGTCTTTCTGCCCTTACTCCACAGTAACCGACTTGGCCAGGTTCCGGGGGAAGTCGACGTTGAGACCCTCCATGACGGCGAGCCAGTAGGCAATGAGCTGCAGGGGAATCACGTTGAGGATGCCCTGGAGGCAGTCGACCGTCTTGGGGATCTCGATGGTCTCGGCCTGGCTAGTCTGGAACTCCTCGTCCGCTTTGTTGCAGATAACGATCGGCTTGCCACCGCGAGCAATGACTGTGCAGAGATAAATATTAGTATCAGAAGCGGAAAGGGGGTAGAGACAGTGAAGAGTATGTGGAAAACGATAACATACCTTGCTGGTAGGCATTCAGGCTCTTCGTGAAGATGTCGTCCCGGGTCAAGATCATGATGATGGGGAGGTTCTCGTCGACCAGCGCCAAGACACCATGCTTGAGCTCACCACTCATGACTGCCTCGCAATGAAGGTAGCTGATCTCCTTAATCTTGAGGGCACCCTCCAAAGCCGTGCTGAACTGAGATCCACGACCCAGCAGAAGCAGACTCTTCTGGTCCTTGAACGTCTTGGCGCACAGCTCCTTGATGCTCCGGTCCTGCTCGAGCACCTCCTTAATCTGGCTGGAGATGTTGCTGAGGCCATGCATGATCTCCTCGCGCCGCTTCTGCTTGCTCGCGCGATCCTCGCTCAGAGAGAGTGCGAACATGACCATGGCAATGAACTGCGATGTGTACGCCTTGGTCGAGGCAACGCCGATCTCGGGCCCGGCGTTGACGTGCACACCACAGTGTGTCAGCAGAGAAATAGACGAGCCGACGACGTTAACGATACCGACAGTCAGGGCCCCCCGCTCCAAGCAGTAGCGCAGTGCCATGAGGGAGTCGGCCGTCTCGCCGGATTGGGAGACGAAAACGCAAGTGTCGTCGCGGAAGACGGGCGCTTGCCGGTCGAGGAAGTCGGAAGCAAGCTCGACGGCGATGGGGATTTCGGCGAGCTCCTCGAAGATTCCCCGGACAGCCATGCACGAGTGGTACGATGTACCGCAGGCAATGAAGATGATGCGCCGGCAGCGGCGGATTGTCGCAATGTAGCTGCGGAGGCCACCGAGGGTAACCTTCTGGTTCTCGATGTCGAGGCGGCCACGCATCGTGTTGACGACCGACTCGGGCTGCTCGAAGATCTCCTTCTGCATGAAGTGGTCGAATTTGCCCTTCATGATCTCCTGCAGCTCCAGCTCGAGGGTCTGGATGGCCCTGACGTTGCTGCTGCCGTCGGCCTTCTTCAGGCGGTGGATGTTGAGGGAGCCCTCGTGGATGTGGGCAATGTCATCATCCTCCAGGTACATAACCTTTTTGGTGTGCTCGACAATGGCGGATGGGTCGGAGGACAGGAAGAACTCGGTGGGCATGGGCATGCCATCGTCGGTCATGAAGGCGCGGGATTGTGAGCGGTGGAGCAGCGACTTGTCAGCAGCTCCGAGCAGTCCATTCGGGGTGAGGAGGCTGCTACCGCCGGCTCCAGGCGACTTCTTCAGGGCAACATTCTGCGACGCCGTCTCGGCGGGCAAAGGGTTGTTCTCGTCTGCGTACTCGACGTCGACGAAATCAACCTTCATGCGCTTCTGTGTCTTAACACCAATAACCAGGGGAGAACCCTTGCGGGCAGCGATCACCTCGTGGGGGTAGTGGACGCTTTTGATCAGAAGCCCATAGGCGCCCTCAAGCTCGGTGATGACCGCCTTGGCGAGGTCGGTGAAGCCGATCTGCGGGTGCTGGTCGTGGATGTATTTGGCCAGCTTTGCGATGCACTCGGTATCGGTGTCGGTCTCAAACTTGAAGCCCTTGCTCTGCAGGAGCGTCTTCAGTTCCTTGTAGTTTGTGATAATTCCATTGTGCACAATGGAGAATTCCCAGTTCGGGTCAGATCTAGAAGTCGGATGCCTGCATCAGCACCGTACCAGAATGGAGCTCCTCAACACACAGCACACAAACATACCTGTGGGGATGGCAGTTCAGGCGAGAAGGGGGCCCGTGGGTGGCCCATCGCGTGTGAGCAATTCCGCAGTGTGAATCGAAGATCTTGGTGAGGTCGACATCGGACTCGTCGATGAGCTGCTTCAGCTTGGCGACCTTGCCAACTTCCTTGAAGGCAAAGACCTCATTCTTCTTGTCCCCGTCAACAGCCAGGCCAGCTGAGTCGTATCCACGGTATTCGAGGCGGGAGAGGCCTAGATTTGAAGAAACACACGTGTTAGCGGGTTGCTGCTGCAATCTGCAATGTCAAGTTTCGGCTCTTCAAGGTCACCGTTCAACCCCCCCCCCCTTCCGGGGTGTTTCCGTTTGTCTTTGCTTTCCCTCCAACAGAGCGAACCCAACGAACGTACCATTAACCAGTGTGTCTAGAATGAACTTCCTGTCCTTCTCCACCAGGTAATTGATGTAGCCGAAAATGCCACTACAGGAAAGAAACAGTTGTCAGCTTCTTGGTTCCAAATAGCCCAGCTGTGGTTGCGATGGTGTCCAGAGAGTTTCCATTCCAGGCCGCTGGCTAGTTGCTCAGGGGCAGGGGCGGGACACGTAAAGGGTGGGGGGTAAGCTTACCACATGTTGTCAGATCAAACGGCTGAACAGGTCTGGGGCGGAATCAGAGGGAATTCGGTGGTTGAGAAGAGTAAAGAATAGGTTGTCAATGGGGGGACCAGTCGTGCAAAATGTGAGAGAGAGACGAGGAGGAAGTGAGAGTGAGGAGGGAGAGGAAGTGAGAGAGAGAGGGCTGGCGCTTTTAAATGTCAAGCGTCGTTAGAGAAGGTAGGAGAAGGCTGAGGGCTGCTGCTGTGCCGTTGCTGTGGACGAAGATCCAGGTCGAGACCCCAGCTTTCTTTATGGCTGAAAGGGAGAAAGGGCAGGCTCGGTAGGTCCAGGGTACCTGTGGCTAAAGCAGCAGGGATGGGTTGCAGGGGGGACTTGCATTAGTGGCAGGAGCTGCCACCACGAATAAACAGGATGCGTTCGGGTGTTGTGTGGTGGGAGAGGGGGGACAAATGGTGGGGTCTTGGCGTCTTTCTAGTGCCTCAGTTGGCAGGTACTCGGATTCCTTTTTTGATTTCCATTTCCTCTTTTCCTTTTTTCCAATCAACTGTCAAGGAGAGAAAGAGAACCAGAAAAGTCAAGGTAAACAGGCAAATAGATGTCTTGGTCACAAATTATAGGCTTGTGGCCTGACCAAAGATCTAATTCTGGGTTCTCTACGTTGTACTCCTTGATGCGTGCGGTACGAGTATCTCTGATACGAGTGAGACAGAGGCTAGGTACAGTACACTGTACCCACCTCAGTTATCGCCCGCCTCTGGCCTTGTATGGCTCCCGGTGCACTAAAACACATTCGCAATGGAATCTGCTCTCTCTTGAGCTCTCTAGACCCCGGCCAACGTCCCAATGACTACACTTACCAAGCCCAAGCCCTGCTACTCTTCATGCGTTGGATCCTTGGCCATGTGGCACGACATCTACACCGCAAAAGGTAGGGAGCCAGTTAGTCAGATTCTCACCGCTGATGCCAATGCTGATACCACTGCTGATACCAATGCTAATACTACAATCCTCATGCCATGCTGACGCTGATGCTGACAGTGACAGACACTAGTACTGGAGCTGAAGTTGAAGCTGAACCTGAGCTGATGCCTGACCTGAGTTCCTCTCGTCCACTTGCACCTTTTTTTTTTGTTTCCTCTTTCCCCATGCTGTCCTTTTTTTCCCCTTTCCGCTGGCTGTTGAAACTTGCAATCGTGGATCCTTCAAATCACAGCTTCCTTGGCCTCTCAGGCGACGCCGAGTCGTAATTGTGGAGATGTTGGGCATCATGTGGAAGCTCCCAGTCCTGACAATGGAACCCGCTTTCCCTGGCGCGGAGTGTACGGAGGTAGTACTAACGGTATATAAGGCACTTTGTCATGATCGTCTTTCATCCATAAGTTAAACCTTACCTAATTTTGCCAGAAATCAGCTGCAGTTTCGACCTAATCTCGATCCTTTCCTCTTGAATCTCGGTCCCTTCCATGGCTTGGCTCCAAGCGGCCGCAAGTGTGCCTCCTCGGTACTAGCCCGAGGCAAGAACTGCACTAATCAATCAAATGATAGCATTTATAAAGCCCTCTCGGACTTGCCCTGGACTGACTCGCTGGCCATGACGTTGGCCGCTAATAAAACCAATTGTAGACTACCAACCTGTTGTTGTCAGCAAGCTGATAGCGCTATCTTAATCTCTGCCAGGAACCGCCCAGTTTTCCGCCCGTGGCGCAGCCGAGGTGTGGATCGAGTCGATGGAGACCCGCGCTTGAACGAATGTACAGCCCCAAGCCAAGGACCGAATCGAAGAAAAAGGGGCAACCTGCGCGGATCATCGTCGCCTAAGAATAGCCCACCGGTGCCGGGTCGCGCTAACAAGTCCGGACACGAGAGAGCTCCGTAGACCAAGGGAGAAGGGAGCTTGCAGGAACGGGTAGATTATGCCCTGTGATGTCAAATTGGCGCGTCCCCTCCTTGTCGTCGTCGACCCTTGTGGGACGAACCACACTACGCTAGGAAAGTCTTGGACACGAGGCTGAAAAGACGGCAAACTTGCTCGATTCGGGTCATTGGCTTGGCTAGCAGAGGTTCTCGGATCCTCGGATTCCCGGATTCCCGAGTCTCCCTTGAGTTGTGAGGCCTCATCAGTGACCAGACGAACTAACTTGGCCTTCCTGCGTTTAGTCCCCTGTCCAGAAATCACCGAGTGGTATCGTAACCGTATCATCACCCCCACACCGTACCCAAACGGTCGAACAGGACGGTCACAAAGAACAAAGCCACGGGGTCGTAGAGTATCAGTCATACAACCTTGAAAACCCGGTCTCGAGCATGGGAGGGGCGTCATCCGGGAGGGGCTAGTCCTACACTACTCGCGCGCTCTTGCAACATTGTGTCGGAGAGCTGCATGGTGCACATTGGGGGTCCAGTTCAGGGGACACAGCAAACGTGGGACGAAGAGTAGGCCACCAGAGCTGGCGTCCTTACTAGTGTAACATCAGCCAAGGCAACTGGGAATGCGGTGGCGAGCCACATGGCTCCGCAGGGAAGGCTAAAATTCTCTATCACTTCAGGCTCCCAAACCCCCTCTCCTGGATCGGATTCCTAGTAGTACAGTATTACAGTCGAGTGCTGGGTTCGTGAGCCGACACTTGGCTTGGCAGTCACTCCCGCCGCTCCAAACCGGGCCTCGTAGCCTCGTGTGTCTCTCGTGTCGCCCTCGGACCCTCATCACAGCTTCTGATACTCGAGTTTGCCTTCGAGCTTCTTCGATTCCGCAACCTTGCGGACCGCCTTGTTGAAATCGTCCTGGGTCACCGCCTCCCGATAATCCTTGATGGCAAACAGGCCGCTAGAAGCATTACGGTCAGTATACATCTCCCCCATGGCGAGAGGCATAGCAGGTGTCAAACTTACGCCTCGGTGACGACGTTGCGCAGATCTGCTCCGTTCAAACCGTCGCTCATCTTGACGACGCTCTCAAAGTCAATGTCCCCCTCCGTGACGACACTTGAGGCATGGATCTTGAGGATCTCCAACCGGCCCACCTCATTGGGCAGTGGGATCTCAATCTTCCGGTCGAGGCGTCCGGCACGGAGCAACGCGGGGTCCAAGGTGTCGGGCCTGTTCGTCGCCATGATGATCTTAGTCTTGCCGAGATAGTCGAAGCCATCGAGCTGGTTTAGCAGCTCCATGAGGGTCCGCTGAATCTCTCGATCGGCCGAGGTGCCCTCGCTGAAACGCCGTCCTCCAATGGCGTCAATCTCGTCCATGAAGATGATGCACGGCTCGTGCTCCTTCGCGTATCCGAACATCTCGCGAATCAGGCGGGCAGACTCTCCAATGTACTTATCGACGATGGCGGACGATACAACTGCAGTAGAGCGCGAGGCGTCAGTAACCTGTGGGAAACCAAGGGTAGGAACCTCGTGACCCAACTAACCCTTGAGGAAGTTCGTCTCCAAGCTGCTCGCCACAGCCCTCGCAAGCAGTGTCTTTCCGGTTCCTGGCGGCCCGTAGAGCAGGACGCCCTTCGGGGGCTTGATTCCAACCCGCAAGAACAACTCGGGGTTCTTCAAGGGCAATTCTATGACCTCTCGCAACTCTCGGATCTGTTCGTTGAGCCCGCCAATACCAGCGAAGCTGACCTGGCCGGGATCCTCGAGTGACATGTTGTAAACGAGGGGGTCGACCTCACGGGGCAACATCCGCATGATCGTGAGCGTTGTCATATCAAGCGCTACACGAGTTCCCTGCTTGAGTTTCGCCTTGTCGACTTTGGAGCGGCAGCCGACCACGTATCTCGGTCCGGAAGATGCCTTGACGATAACTATAGAAGTCGCGGGGAATAATGTCAGCACATGTCATAATTAAAGTGTCACCCGGCGGTAGGCAGCGGAACCCACATCTCTCGTCGTCCAGCTGCTTCAGAACCTCGCCGATGATCTGGCCAACGCTTTGTAACGCCTTGATGTTGTCTTCTGTCTGGTCGAAATCCTTTTGTAGCCCCTTGATCTCCAGCCGCAGGGACTTCAGCTTTGCCTCCCATTCCCGCGACTCGATCAGCTTCGCCTTGAAGGAGTCGAGCGCGTGCTCCCGCTCTTGATCGGAGGCCATAGCTTCCGGGAAGGTGTGTCGTCGGGGTAGGTAGGGTTTGCGGCAATCGAAATAGTATCGTCAGTGTAGTGCAGGAAGCCCTAAGAAGTAGGTGTGCAGAAGGTGAGATCTAGTGGCTGCGACCGGTGGGTGAAAGATTGTCGATGTTCAGAGATTCGTCGTGTTGGGCTGGTCGAGGTGTTGATTCAGTGCAGGAGCTTACCTCAGCCTTCTGCTGCCTTGCCGTCGTGTAGCCAACAGGCAGGACCTACGGGACGGGGCAGGGTTACCTCCGTACTAGAATTTCCGTTCCGAGCTGGTAAGTTCATGCGTGCCCGGACCATGCAGCTTGGGCCACGAGCTGGAGTGGGGCCTAGCTGGAGGCGCCCTGTGCGGGTGGTCAGCTTTCATCGGTTCTCGAATCCTGGGCACTACCTCCCTTGACTATAACATATTAACCTCACCTAACCTAACAATTGCTTATTATTTTGACATACTTCTACCTTTAGTGTATGTCGACTGGGTAGGTATCATATACGGGTACACAGTAGCAGTGTACATGATCTGCGGGTCAGCAGACAGGCAAGGCAAACTCCGGTTCATTCCCCATTCGCCTGAGCAAAGTGTCACAGGCCCGAGAAGAAGCAAGACGCCAATTATGTGAGATGATCGTGCCTATCAGCTATGCTGCCTCGGGGGTACCCGTAACCAAGGGGTTGCTATGAGGAATCTTGACGTGATTCAATTTGGGCCTGGTTGGTGACGACGGCTCCTATTGTTCCTCCCAAAAACCGAGGGCATGTTCAATGACGTAGCTTTTGCTGATTCCAAGGCAGCTCCATCCAATCCCAGACACAATAGCAACCGTCTAGAGCTGTAGAGCTGCTGTAATTTCTTCACCTCTCGCATACCACATATACCGGCTTGACCGGTCACAATTGCTTTACTTCTCCAATCGCGCCACACTACAGGTAGCTTATGGGAGAATCCTCGACGATCTCGGCCCGGCTCACAGAGCTTCCCTAGATTTGCCCTCAAGGAAGTGGCCGTTGGCGGCTCCTTCACCTGCCTCTTCTCCTCGTTTCGTTCCCCTCACATTCCTATCCGTCCTGCCGTCGTACTCGGCCAGATTAGCCTTAGCCCTCAACGAAGTATCACCTCCCGCCATTTGCTCTAGGGGGGGAAATTGGGATCCTGTGATAGCAGCACTGTGGCTGCAGCTGCAGGGAGACTATCCGTTTCAAGTGAAATACCACGCTCCCTGAGCTGTGCGGATGGATATAATCTACGCCGGAATCTTCCCCGGATACCAACCCTATATTTCCCCGCCGAGTGTCAGCCTATCGAGACTATGAGCAGCGAGCTGTCTCCCACCCTAGGCGGCCTCGCATCGGACTACAGTGCCTCGCCGTCGTCGGGGAGCCAGAGGAGAGAGAGGGGGGCAATTGCCGCACAGGTCAGTTCCGATCAAGCGACCTGTTTGAGCCGGATCTTCAGTGCATTTCACACACACTCTCGCCTGGTTCTGGACCTCCAACTCGCATGACTTTGACTCTCTTCAACGTCTAACCCGGACTGCCTAGGCGTGCGACACATGCCGAAGTCGGAAGCAGAAATGTGATGAGCAGCGGCCGACTTGTGGCACGTGCCAGAAGTTCGGTCTCGAATGCAATTATCGCCAGCCTCAACCGACCAAGTGCGTTCGTTGCAAGTCGTCGGGGCTCTCATGCCACCTCCACTGACAGTGAGTGCAGAAAAGACAAGACCCTGGCGGAGATACTAAACCGTATCAAAAGCCTCGAGGGCAAAATTGATGACCTGAGTATGCGGGCCCTGTTCCCCGCGACGACCGTATCGACCGTTTCGACCGCGGGCACGTCTGCTTCTTCTGGTCCAGTCACTTTTGGACAAGCCGGCCCACTGGGGAATCCCATCTACCATGTCCCTCCTGGCACGTCGAACACAGTGCCCCAAAGCGAGGACCATTACAAGTACGTCCCGTCGGTTCACCAGATGCTTGGATGGCCGATCTTGCAGCAGGTTCTCGATTCGATCCAGCCAAAAACAGGCGTAGATTTTTCCAATGTCGCACGAGATGGGCCAGCAATGCTTCTCGGGCTGCGGGAGAATAGCCAACGGCTACGTCTAGAGGCCGACGGGGCACATGCTCACGATCTCCCCCACGGCTTGCCGATGGAGGGGGAGGGCGCTACGTCCTTCACCATCCCAAGCTTAACCTGGGATTCCATGCAGCGACTGTGCAATGCCTACTTTGATACCTTCAACATGATCTATCCGATCCTGGATCGGCAATCATTCTTGTCCGAGACCATGACCTCGATCGTCAGCGACGGCTTCAATGAGGGGATGGCATCGACCCTGGCTCTTCTCATCGCTGCGTTGGGAGAAGTCGCAATTGCCGCCGTCCATGGCGTCCCCATCCACATGTCCAACGGCAGACCCAGCGGGATCAAGGGTGGGACTGCGACTCGACCCCCTGGGCTGTCTCTATTTAACGAAGCCAGAAAAAGAATGGGCTTCAACCTCGCTGATTGCAGCCTCGAGAATGTCCAGGTATTCGCTCTGGCAGGGTATGTCTCGGGCGTTTCCTTGAAGCCTGCTCTTCTAACCGGCGCGGCAGCCTGTATTATGGAACTGCCTGTTGCCACATGGTGTGTTTCTCTCTCCGAGCATCAAAGAGACAAATGTCGTCGGTTTGGTCCTTGCTCACACCAGATCAGGAATGTTGGAGAATGACTATATCAGCATCGCTCGCGTGTCGAGCTTTGGTTATGAGGTAGAGCTATCCCGTCTGAATATCCAAGGCTCAGCCACCCTCTAAATCCGTAATAGCAACCCTGCAGAGCTATCCTCTCCACGAGGAGACCTGGTCCGGCGAATATTCTGGCACTGCTTGATCATGGAGACGTATGGGATCCCACCGGACCTGCTTTTCCCTTTATTTTTTCTTTGCGAGCCCATATACGGGCAGACCATCTGACACGCCAATGTTTTGTCTAGGGCCCTGCATCTTGAGCTTGGATTACCCCTGACCGGCCTCGAAACGCTGGAGCACGTTGTCGGCCTACCCGACTTCAGCGGCCCCTTTTCCCACGAAGACTATCTCGGAAATGAAGGTTCGCATTTTCAAGAACACTTTGCGTCTCAGATCGTCCTGAGGCGTCTGGTAGTCGACTTCCATAACATTCTAGGCCAAGGTCAGTGGTAAAATCTGTTGACCGATATGCGCCATCCGAGATTGGGATACTAGATACTAGCTCAAAACGACGTTACCAGAACCTTCCACTACCGCATCGACGCCATTCACGCCCAGCGGCTCCCCAACGCCACCGACAGCCGTCAACCCGGCGACCATCAAGCGGTTCGCCCTCCAGCTCGACCAGTGGCACGGCATGCTCCCAGCCAGCCTCAGATGGCCGGAGGACTCCCCCGGCGCCTTCCCGGGCTCCCCACCAGTAAACCCCACCTACGACGAGCCCTCAAACACGACCACGAAGTCGACCGAGACGACCACCACGACCACGACCACGACGACAACCGCCCCCCTCATGTTCACCACCGACCTCGACGCGCCCCCAACAGCCTACCCCTACGGCCTGGACATCCAAGCCGCCCTCCTCCGCTCGCGCTACTACCACGCCAAGTACCTCATCCACCGCCCCTTCCTCTACAAAGCCCTCCACCACCCCGACGCCCTGACCGCCGACGACGCCGCCGGGGCCGCGACCTGCCTCCGCGCGGCGCTGCGCTGGCCCGTGACCATGTCGCCGGCGCACTCGCGCAAGCGCCTCCTGCCCTGCCTCTTCTTCTGGACGCAGAACGCACTCGGCGTCCTCGTCGTGCTGCACCTCAGCACGTCGTCGCCGGCGCTGGCCCGCGTCCGCGCCGCGCTCTGCGGCGACCGCTTCGAGTTCGAGGCCCGCGAGACGGTCGGCCTGTGCATCGACTGGGTGCGCGATCTCGGCGCCGCCGACGGGGCCACGGGCTGGGCTTGGGAGGTCGTGAGGGCGTTGTATGGGTTGGATGAGGTGTAGGGTTGAGGGCGGCGAGGTTGAGTTGTTTTTGCGAACTAGTGATTTGTTGCGTTGTTGTTGTTATTGCTAGTGAAGGGATGATTATGAGGGGTGATTCATAAAGCTTGGTCATAGCAACCATATACCATCGTCGTTAGAATCAATGCATCTATCTCTGAACCAGACGGATATGCTCCTGTGACTAGATGGATTGATTGGTAAAGGCACAGCTACATTGCCCATCGAATTGTGTCATGATCCTACCGCTTCTTATCCGAACCCTGTGCCATTGCTAGGACTATTCCATGCTTTGATGAAGCATATCGATCAAGTTCTGGTAGTGAGATAAAATCGGTATCTGCTAGGGGATTGCATTGTGCAGCCAACCAGAAGCGCCTGACTGGTTTCTATCTCGTGCCAGCCAACCTCGCAAATGACAAAGTCATGATAGGGGTAGTACTCGGACCACCACTCAGCTCGGATACAGCACGGCATATCCCATATAGTCCCGACCCAAAGCTAAGGCAAGAGACTCAACCATCTCTCGACAAGCCCATTCTGCTGTTCAGCCATGGGGCAAAGGCAGAAGAAGACTTGATGGCTTCGTTCCTTCCGCACATCAATCCCCCAACCTACTACCCGAAAGCAGGCTGAGCCAGCTCTCGCCCCGCAAAGCAAGGGCTCAAACTAAAGCACATAACCCAACAGCCCAACCACCCCCCGCTCTCAACCCCCCTCCCACCTCCTCAACAACCCAACCTGCCAGCCCCTAAACTCCCTCTCTGCCGGCGGCAACAACGCGGTCCCGACCTCTAGCTCCGCCGCCACGGCGGCGACGGCGTCGGCGGGGAGGCCGCCCACCTCCTGTACGTCGGACGCGACGGCGTCGAGCATGCGGTCCGCCTCGGCCGCGCCGACGGTGCGGTAGAGCAGTTTCATGGCCGGGACGGGCGTGGTCGGGTCGGCGAGGGCCGTCGACGAGTAGCGGATGGTGTTGTTGAGGGTCCAGAGGTGGAGCGAGGCCGTTGCGGTGGCGGGGGCGGAGGCGGGCCCGCCTTCGGGGATGGGGACGAGGAGAGATTTGGAGGAGCCGGAGCGCGAGGTGGTCGCGATCAGGGTTGCGGATAGGCACTCGGCGACGGTGGGCTGGGGTGGGAGTTGAGACGGAAGGGAGGTGGCCGATTCCTTGGTCGTGCATGACACTTGCCATTTGAAGAGTGTGACGGCCGAGGTCCTTTGGTTGAAATATCCCAGCCGAGCTTCACAGCCAGCACAGGATATATGGATGGTTCGGCGAACGTCGTCCGCTTCCTCTTCCATCAGGGCAGACCTATCTGTTGACCCCGTTCCCGAGGCCAGCGAATACTACCAGCCCATACACCGTCAGTTGATTCTGCCAATTCTGTCAAGCAATCGTTGACCGACGGTACCCGCCGGTATGGGCTCATCAGGAAAGTAGGTACTAAGTATGTCCCTCCGATAAATCACAAGCAATCCTAGACTCCGGAATGGCTCGGTGAAATGCAGAGGCCAGTCCATCTACCGAGACAGCTACGAACCCTCACGGCCCTTGCGAGACACAGGGGTTCGTTGGCTGTCCGGCAGCCTGCCAGGCAGGAAGGATAGGTGGTTGCTTGCTTTTGGGCAGTTGTATCGGTGACCAGGCCACCAGGGGGACGGGTTGTCCTGGCCTAGCCGCCTTCTTTTATGCCCCAGACGGTGTATATATGCAAAGGAAAGTAGAGGAGGAGGAAGAGAATGTAACACATGCGGCTGGAGGAGCAGCACGAGCGGCAAGGAGAAAAAATGCAAAACTCACCAAGATACCCTCACAATCCCCCTCAGAAAACAAGAACGACGTCAAGTCCACAAACCCAACACCCTCCTGTGCCGATATGGCCGAGTCGGCACCATATCCTCTAGCAGCAAGGCTCTTCTCATCCGCCCGCCCATCCGCCTCCCCATGGCCACCACCCTGTCCATGGTCGTGCTCCTCGTCCCCATCCCCATGTCCATGCCCGTGCCCGTGCCCGTGCCCATGCCCATGCCCATGCCCATGCCCGTGATCCCCAGGCTTATGACAGTGCCAAAACTCCATCATCTCAGCCCAATTCTCGCTCGGCAGGTCCTTCCACGCACGCACCCTCCCCACGCCCACTACCAATCCACCGCACCCACGACAGCCCACCGGCCCGCCCGGCAGCAGCGCCGTGGCCGGCCAAGGGACGGCATCCAGGTCCGAGCGGTGCTGCTCCTGCCGCACCTGGTGGCCCGGCGCGAGGAGGAGGAGGGGCAGTCTCCACGCCAGGGACGACGAGGGTGCTGCGGACGGGATGGGCAGGGCCGAAGGAGGGGCGGCGACGCGCGCGGGGAGGGCGAGGCTGGCGTCGAGGCCGTCGTGGCGGAGGCGGATGGTGGAGCCGTTCGGGGCGACGGTCGCGGCGGTGGAGGCGTTGGCGGGCGACGACAGGGAGGCGGCGACGGAGACCTGGCGGATGTTCTGGAGGAGCTCGGCGTAGATGGAGATTCCCGGCGGCGGAGGAGGGCTGGCCATCTTGGAGGTTGAGCGTGGGGATTGGTAAGAAGTGAATGATGGTCGGAAAGAGAGAGGGGTTATTGTCTCATGGAATGGAATACATGGCTGAAAAATCGAGCGGTGAGCTTCTTACTCATAAGCTGCCGCGGCTCAATTGTTTACTCTGGCTTGGGAAGAAAGCTTTTGAAAAGGTTTGCCCAGATGTTCGAGCTCTTCAAAATGCGAGGTGAAGTCAGAATTATATGGTCTGTGCGCACGGCACAGTGTGCATTCTGCTATCCACGAACCTCCTGTTGTTCCATTTTGACCCGCCGTATCTATGCCTCAGCACTACATGGAATATGACCCCGGCCTCTTTACCTATTTTCCTCTCCCGAGACTTCGTAAACAAGCGCCCGAAACTATTCCTCTGCCTCGGCCGGCTCCTCAACCTCGTCAGCGTCGTCCGCATCCTCGTCGAAGCTCGTGGCCGGGACGGCGTAGAGGCGCAGGATGGACTTGTTGGGGTCCTTTACCAGCACGAACTTGCTGTCCTCCTCGCGGCTGAGACACATGTCGGCAATGGTGCGGACAATGCCCCAGCCGTTGGACAGCGACAGGTTCATCTGGTTGGCGAAATCGCGGGGCTTCCAGCCTATAACGCCCAGGATGACGTGCTTATCGTTCGACTTGGGGTTGGCACGGGACACGAAGCTGTCGAGGAGTAAGCCGGTTAGCGTAGGTCCTTCGCAGCAGAAGACATAACAACAGGGGGCACGGAAAAAACACGGAAGAAACACGCAAGAAACACGCAAGAAACACGCAAGAAACACAAAAACTCACCCAAGCTTCATGACATCCGCCTTGGCCAGGATGCTCTGCACTGTCCACCTCGCCAGCTTGACGCTGTTGTTCTTCATCTCGGTGGCGACGACAGCACCGCGCTGGCTGAGGAGCTTGGTCCGCCAGTCGAGCGCGCCGCCACTGCCCTGCGCCTTGCTGTCGAACTCATTGAGCGCGTGGACGGTGACGAACTGGTCCTCGCCGCTTATCGCGTTCTTCTGGACCGCATCGAGTTCTGTCCGGACGATCAGGTAAACGGGCTCTCCATCGCTAGTCGAGAGATCGAATTTCCTGTACTTGTACGCCTTGGAAGCCGGCGGCGCCGTCTCCTCGGACGCGTTGTAGAAGGGGTTCTCGTGCTCCATCTCGACCTTCTGCCTCTCGTTCTCGAGGACGACCTGGTTGGCGAAGTTGTGGTTGATATAGGTGGCTTCCTCCGCCAGCGCGGCCGGCTGGTTGATCACGTCCTTGCTGCCCTCGGAGGCATCGAGCGGGGCGTCGGCGGCGTTCTCGTTGACGGTCACCATGTCCAGCGCGGCGTTGTCTCGCTTGTCGAGGAAGATCTTGTTGCCGTGGCGCACAATGACGATATCCCAGGGATAGACCGAGCGAGACGAGCACATGAGCATGGAGAGAACGCTATCTGTGGCGAAGATGGTCGCCTCGTCCTTCTCGGCGAGCTCCTGGATGACCGGGTCCGACGAGGTGGTCACATTGTACGCCGCACGATCCATGACGTTCAGCTTCCGCTCTGTCGCCTTGACGGGCTGCTTGTCGTAGGACCGGTCGTAGTAGTAGACGAAGCCGTAGCCGTCGATATCCTCGCCTTCGTCGGCGTCCAGGTTCAGCTTGCTCAGGCGGTTGAAGTCAATCTCCTCAAGCAGATTCCAGTCCGCCTTGATGTTGATGGAGGCGTCCCTGTTCCTAGCAGGCTTGTCGTAATCCTTCCAGCCAAAACGCCTACCCCTAGCACCAGCATTGCCCCGGCCACCGCCCCGATTGTCATATCCGCCGCCGTATGGTTGACCCCGTCCGGAGCGCTGGAACTGTTGGCGACCCCCCCTGGCGTCCCCGCGTTGTCCCCGCTGGCCACGACCGCCGCGTGTGAAGATGGCTCCACGGCCGAAGCGTGACTTGCCGGTGTCGCGGACGTTGCTGACAACCGAGAAGGAGGACTCGTCCTCAGCAGCTGGCGCGGCGAAGAGCGAGGCTGTACCAGCGCCGTATACTTGCTGATCTATACGCGGAAGAACCGTCAGCACCAAGACCCAGATGGAACTCAAACGACAAAAGCATTACCTCGATAGTTTCTATTGTACTGCATACGGCCGCCACGGCCATCCCTTCCGTCCTTGCCATCGGCGGTCCAGTCGGCCATGCGGCCCAGCTTGTCGCCCTTGGAGAACGGGGCATACGGGACGCCGTCGAGGGTGGTCTCCGAGGTCACCGGAGGACCCCATCCCGGACCCTCGGGAAGGGCGCCAATCAGGTCGCCTAAGGAAGACTCCATTCTTATCGCGACGCCTGAGGGTGGTGATATTTCTGGATTCGAAGGCAGTAAATACCGTTCCGGTTACTGATGGGCTGAAAATTAGGGCGCGGAGCAGTCGTTGTGCAGCGCCTGGAGTTTTCAAGTTGAGAGGCGGAATTCGTCGAGGTTTCGAAATTCAATCGAAAATCGAGAATATCGTTGGTGGGGTGTTATTGTGGGGCTGCGGGCAGGTGTGGGCAGGCGCCGCTGCGGCAGGCGAAAATTTCGGTGTGCCAACATTTCGGTGTACCAATTCGCCCTGAGCTCTCACCTAGGTGTCTAGGTGTGTAGCTTCTGTCTTGATCGATCGTCTCTGCCGGGCCACAGTAGCGTCTGAGTAGATAACATGTATTAATGTCAATAAAAGTACCAAGAACGAGTTAAACTCCACAAATCCAGAAAAGGTCCCGCCGCTCAGCCCCCGTAACCAACTTTTCTGAAGCCATATATTTATTCCACTTTACGCCTGGTCATCGAAACGCCAAAACGAAATGAGAAGGGTCTCACAGCATCTCAACAATCAAAAGACCGCTCTCAGTAGACCGCTCCCATCTCGGACTTCATTGAGAATAAGTTCTCCAGAGCATCCCTCACTTCAAACTCCTCCATTACAGCGCCAAATCTGCCAAGGGTGTCAGCGTATTTCAGTGGTCTTCTCCAAGCAGAATTCGAACTGGACGCATGCAAACAGCGTATACGAGGAACAAGGGGCGGGGACGGGGACGAGAAAGATGAAAGGGAGACATACCCATAGCACCGAACCTTACTCCCCAACTCCTCCGACAACCTAGCAAAATCCTTGGTCCTCAGCTCCGCCAGCCTCGGGTGGGCGAGGACCATGCCCCAGGCCATGACGGGCGTGATCTCCCCGTCGAGGTTCAGCCTCGTGCTGAGGTCCAGCAGCGTGGCCAGGTCGCCCTTGCTGAGCTCCCACGTGCGCTGCTGGCCGTCCACGTCGCCGCCGGCACCAGCGCCGATGTTGCTGTACCCGAACGGGATGTCGGGCGTCAGCTCGGGGAACGGCTCCGGCGGGCACGACGCCATCAGCGCGTGCCCGCACGGCTCGTTGCCGCCCACCTCGGTGCCGCGTTCCAGGAGCCAGGGCATGTGGTCCATGCATGGCTTCTCGAGGCTGTGAAGCGATTTGGTTAGCCTGAACTTGTTTGTGTGAGGTTTGCCTTTCGAGGGGATGGTTTCGTACGTCAACACGAAATCAATGCCAGATTGGTCATAATCCACGCCCGGGTTCCTATATAACTGGCCTCCTCCAACACCCAATCCCGTACTGATCTGGCCCTGGCTGGAATGCTGATGATGGTGGTGATGGTGGTGGCCGGGCTGGTGGCCGGTAATCGGTGATGCGCCAGAACGCGCCGACAAGGGCGGCGGCGTGAAGGCGCTCGTATGACTCGAGGCTGCCGCCCCGCCAGACACGCTTCCGCTTGATGCATATCCAATGCTGGGGTTGCTCATCGAGTCGTCCAGCAAGCTGCTGCCGCTGGCTCCAGCCCCGGGGGTTCCATTCTGGGCGACAAGGGCCCTCAGCTGGCGGTTCTCTGCCGCGAGCCGCTCCTTGTCCTGGGAGATGTTGCTGTATATCTCCTTCAGGCGGAGCACTTCATCTTCCAGAGCCTTGATGTAGAGTTCCTTACGCTCCCGATGTGTCCTGGAGTAGTGCGCGGGTTAGCCGTTGCGCGGCATTCGATGGGCTCTGGCTTGGTGCAGTCGCCTGCTTACCTCTGGGCCTGTCTGTTCAGCTCTTGCCGTCGCGTCAGAGCCGGCTTGCTGTCTGGCTTCGGTCCTCGACGTTTGGCCGGGTTCCCATCTAGGGGGAAGAATCGGGGTTAGTTCGCCGATCGCGACCCAGTCAAGAAATATTGGAGAAAGTCCAATCTCTAGTTCTGTACCTCGTGTAGTTCTCTTTTCTGTCAGCGACTTGAGGAAGCCGAGATTCATTGAGGACAACGGGCCCTTGTCCTGCGCAGCTGGCCCGCCGAAATTAGATTGATTCGACTGATCCGGTGAAAGCGATGCCGCCATCGTTCCTTTTGCCCTTTTCGTGGCGCAAATAGACCTGCGGCCTCGGAGGAGGCGGTTGGCGGGGGTGGGTAAGCAGCTATCCGTCCTACGTCAGTCGTTCGCAGCACCAACCCAGCCTTCTTCGTCGAACTTCAGTTCTTAAAATTAACGATAGCGGTAAGTAGGGTTCGTCGTTAAGAAAAATCCGATCGCCGCAGGGAAATCGACAAATTCGTGGCTCCTCTGTACGCGATTACTAGGAAGGTGCGGCGAGCAAGACATCGACGTTGTCGTTCCTGCGTGATGCGGAGCGGGGCGATTTTCGAGAAAGACGGCGTTTGCTTGGAACATTGTGAAACGCGGCGAGTAGGGCAGCGTCTGAGATGGGGGCTGCTGTCCCGTGCCTGCTGGATCGTAAAGCGCTAATAGATAAGGCATTTGGCATTTTCGCGTCGGACATATTTGCCACGGTGGTATGGGAGGCATAGGTAGCGAAAGATGGAGGAAGGCAGCAATGACCAAGTTCAACGGAACCCACAGCGACGCATAGGAAAGAAAATACTGTGGCAGCAGCCTGTCAGATGTCACGAAGAAGTTCTATCTTGAATAGGTACTAATTCGATGTGAGCATGAGACCTCAATACCACCCAACATCTGATGCACCGGTGCTTCTTTTTTCTTCTGTCTCGAATCTGGGTGGATTGATCCTAGCTCCAACAGCTTCAGCCCTGCCAGGTTGATGGTCGAAGGCTTCGGCAAGGGTAGGAGCAGAAATCTGGGGAATACCCCTGGCAGAGGAAGGAAGCGTGACGGGAGGGTGGCCTGCAAGTCGGCCCCGGGATTTTTCGTGGATCTTCGCGTCTTCGCCAAACGCTCACTTGGTGCTTAGGGGTGATGGTTGTTGCCCCTTCGCCGACGGCCTCTCTGCTGACGGCCTCTCTGATCTGACCAGACTGATCGAGCCACATTACTGCGTCCTGGGTTACACCGCTGCAGGGCCGCATGTTGTAAGGCCTGGCCCTCGACAAATTATGTCAATAGCTCGGGTTGTATGCACTGGATCAACGGCCCATGTTTGTTTTATGCGGCCCCACTCGGTCCCGGGCGGGGCATTACTTTGGATGTCGGAATAGGCAAGTTGCTAGCCACAACAACTCCCGCCTGTCTTCTCCAGAGCTGTGACCTGTCAACAACGAGGTCGTGCCTCTAAGATCGACTCCCACCATCGCCAATCTCATCGGAACTCCAGCCTTGCGTCAGACGATCAGCCGCCCTGTTTCAGATCATGCACCTTAACTCAGCCGTACAACCAAGGGCATAAATCGGGAGCCCCGACTTGAAACACGTCGGCGTTATCGGACCCTTTATGGGTTTGTGCTGCCGTCCACATCGGCAGCCAGCAGAAACCTGAGTTTCTTCGACCTACACCAAAGCTGGCTCCTCCCACCCTACAAGGCTTGCCACCACTACCTATCCTAACCTTACCTGCCTATACTTCCCAGAACTAAGACGGCATCTCAGTCCCGACGCCGTGGATGACCCGGACTTCACTTCGCTAAGCCCACCCCGTAACTTCCACCCGCCCTTCCACCCGCCCTTCCACCCGCCTTCCACAGCGGCGCATCTCACCATGGGCCGCTCCCCACCGCGCCCCAGCCCCATCCCCCGCCCCCTCACCCACCTCCGCGGTCTCCTCCTCATCATCCCCTGGCTAGCCTACCTCCTCGTCGCCGACATCATCCTCTCCCTCCTGCTCCTCCTCAAGCCCTTCCGCCCAGACACCGTCTACGACGCCTCCTCGGCCGTCGCCTGGACCGTCTGGCGCTGGATCCAGGCCGTCTTCGAGGGCGCCAATGGCGCCGACGTGGAGGTGTCCGTGTCCGTGTCCATCCCGGCGACCGGGGGCGACTCCCTGCCGCCCGGCGAGTCGGCCGTCGTCGTCGCCAACCACGTCGGGTGGTGCGACTTCTACATGATCCAGGCCCTGGCCATGCGGTCCGGCATGCTCGGCCGATGCAGGTGGTTCGCAAAGGTCCAGCTGCGCCGGGTGCCTTTTCTGGGCTGGGGCCTGTGGGCCATGGGCATGCCCATGGTGAGCAGGAAGTGGATGAGGGACCGGCTGGAGCTGGATAGGGTGTTTGGGGGGATTGTGGAGAGGAGGTGGCCTGTTTGTACGTGTTTCCCTGTTTCGTCTTTTTCCCTCCCCTTGCTATTAAAGATTGAATCGAGCCTGGCTCCTACATGCATGCTTGCATATTCAACTACCTAAAGTACAACCTACCGTCCTACCTTGACAGGGTGGTGCCCCTATTTTTCTCACCGGTCGCATACTCACCTCACTTCCCCTTCCTCTTACATAACCTTGACTTCCATTTCACTAACACTCCCCCCAGGGCTCATCTCCTTCTCCGAAGCCACGCGCTTCACACCCGCCAAGTACGCCGAATCGCAGGCCTGGTGCGCCGCCAACTCGCGCCCGCAGCCGCAGCACCTGCTGTACCCGCGCACCAAGGGCTTCGTGGCGACGGTGCAGCACCTGCGCCGCGCCCCGCACGTCAGGGCCGTCTACGACGTGGCCATCGCCTACGAGCGCGACGGCCAGTGGCACATCGCCCCAGACATGTGGGAGACGCTGAGCTTGCCGCACCTGAGCCGGCCGGCTGCCGCCGAGGGAGGCCGGGGATTCCGCTTCCACGTCCACGTCAGGCGGTTCCCCATGGAGGAGCTGCCGACCGATGACGAAGGGCTGGCTACGTGGTTGGAGCAGAGGTGGGTAGAGAAGGGGGAGTGGTTGGAAGCGAAGAGGGTTGAGTGGGCTCAGGAGAATAGGAAGAAGGAAAGTTGAGGGTGGTCGTGCGTCGCGTGTCGTGTGTCTATGATGCGTACGACTGAGCTGAGGTGGTGGTGTCTATTCCTGCACACTCGTCATACGGCCCAAAAGAGGGTGGCGACGGGGCGTTATCTGGCCTGGGCCGCTTCCTCTCCGATTCCCCTGCGGCCGGAGGTGGCCTCGGTCCCGACACAGAACCGCCTCAGTAAACTTGAAACGAAACCGACATCGATAGTAGGTGTGCTTTCCCGCCTGGGAAAAGGAGCTTGGCGGTCGATCCCGTGCTGTGAAGTTAAAGGAACTTGGGAGGGCCAAACGTAACTGCCGCCCCTCAGGTTCATGTTCCGGCATGAAAGATGTGCTCATGTGCAGGCCAGATCAGCTCTCTATGGTGCCACATCGTATAATGGGGCAGGCGAATGAATCGAGAAAGGATTGTCCTCGAGTAGCACAACAGAATTGATGATGTCGCTTCAGAAGCGTTGCTTATTCGATGGGGGGTAGGGGTCCTAGTCGACTTAGGTGTGCGTCCAAAGACGAGGTCATGAGGATGATGAGGTCGTGGCTTGATCTGCCTACGTCAAGAACCGTTCCATCGGGACGCGCCTCTGATCAAATTAGTAAATGGCGGCCGGGGGGGCAGAGGACGAAGATCCCCTCATCCGAGGCCTTTGCAAGCAGCAATGTCAGGCCTGCAGATGGAAATGCAGACCCCTCTTAATGTGAGACGACCGGCGGTGCAACCCCACGTTCAATATGGAGGTGAAACAGGCAGACTGTTGTCGACGTCAGATTGGAGAAAGATCAACCTCCATGTGTACCCCATCTACCCCAAAGCAGTGTAACAACAGGTGGGGTTGGTTGGTTACCTAGGTAGGTTGGTAAGTTATTAGCTTCGATTATCATGAGGAGGACTTGTGGCAGTGATCAACGAGATACCGACGGCTGCATGTCTTTTTCATCCCTTTCCCCCTTTTCTCTTCCCCAACCTGGAAAGGACGAAAAGAAGAAGAAAAGGGGAACGAAACGACTGTGGTCACCTGTCAATCTGAGCCATTTTGCTCCCGTTCAGACTGCCATAGAACCTCCATGGAAGGCTTCTTCAGCGATCCCTGGCCCATCTCTTTAGGGGTCGGGAAAACCGGCCGCATCAAGCCCTACCGCATTGTAGAAGATTGTCCCTTGAATCCTTGATCCGCTGGTGATCCCCATTTGGGATCACACACGAGGCCACATCCACCGGCCAAGCAGAGGACAGGACGGGATGTGACTTGAGAGAAATGCACCTGCAGAAAGTAATAAAACTGCCCGTCGACTGGGTGGGTGGCCAAGGATCGTGGAACGGACTTCATCATGCGGATAGCTTTGTCCACTTACACTAGGGGGCCGGCCCCGGGAATAAGTGTACGCTAACTGGGCCTAGTAGTACCTACAATCCACTGTAATGGGCTGCATGCATGGACCAGCAAACACACCACACACCCATTTTCGTCTTTCTCCCCTCCTCCCAAGTCCGGGTCCCAAGTTTTTGCAACCCATGGAAGGCCCAGTAGCATGGCAAGTGTGGGGCATAACGGTTGGTGACCACGAGGGAAGACCAGACGACGGCACGACGGCTATCTTTCTCGAAGAGTTGTTGTGTGTGATCGGGCCTGCCATTGGAGGGGGGCCCAGCAGGGTAGGAATCTCTTTCCCCGCTGGCGATCTTGCGAGTTCTTGGCACACAAACGTGACAGCCAGAACCAGAAAGAACCTACATATAGATACAGATGGGAGGCAGAGACGGCGATGGCCAATGAGAAATTCAAGGAAACAATGGAAGCTAGCAACGGGCCAGGGGTCTAGAACCTTGCGATCAACGGCTTCCTTGCCGCGAAAAGGGTCTCCCAGTTCATGCGTTTTCGTCCTGTTTCGTCCCACCACTGCCTGCCAGACAGACGTCGTGTATGCAATCCGTAATATCTCTTGATTAATCCGAGGCCCTTGTTGCATCATCAGCCGAATAGCCTTGAAGAATTACAGCATAGCCGCTGCATGCTTATCGAGGCCTCACTCGTCATGTCCAATGCGCCTCTTCATTTCATTTGTCCAGAACCCAAGCCATGCAAAGCGCATCGCGACCCTGTCAACATCAATTCTGGCTCGCTGCAGATCCATGATGAGACCAAGTCAACCATGAAACACGCTTGAGTCCCGGTAATATGTCATGTCTTGCCCCAGCTAGTGGCCGCTGATGCGTGTGGCGATGTTCATGTTCATGGCTTTCGATGGTGAGAGAAGAGAAACATCGGCAAAAGGGGGGGGTTCAGGGTTGCGCTGGTGATGCAGTCCCCATGGCGGGGATGAGGGGTCAACAACAACCTAGGTACAAGCGAGGGATATGATGCTCAGACAGACATGTAGTCTTTGCATTCATCCATACTAACTCGTCGGTCTCTGCAGACTGGGCACCTGCTAGTTACACTGCACGGCTTCATACGCCAAGGTGGCCACTGATTTGCCCATCATGGCCCATCAATGATGCAAGCGCGCCCGGAGCAACGCTGGGCAAGCTATGCACAATGACACATAATAGTGACTCAGGGTGGCTGTACAGCGCCGGCCAATGGCGAGAGGTCCCCCCCAACTTTGTGGCATATACTTCTGTGTGATCAAAGTGATGTGCCGATCTGGGGGGTGGGCGGTAGAGGAAACTAAGGCAAGGCAAGCGTGGTAACGAGCGAGGGAAGGGAGGTTAGGTAGGTAGGTTAGGTAGGTTGGTAGGAATGTGTGGCCGTTCTCGTCTTTTGACGGTACCGAGCGAGAAGGCAGCGGTGAGATCTCAGATTGCGATGGATGTGGGAGCGGCTAAAACAACCATTTATTATTTACCAGAGGGCATTGCATATCGCTTCCTTGGGCTTTCTGACGTTCCTGGCATCCATGTAAATGCGTGGCACCAGGTTCTACACCATCTACCCGTCTGCAGGCGCGGCGGGCGTGACAAGATGACAAAATAAATAACAGGCAGCATCGATAGTAGGTAGCGTGTAGTGTGCGACAATAAGTCGGATGCAGCAGCAGCGGCGATCTGATTTGCCTCTCGCCGTCACGCTCTGGGGGCTGCACCATCACTCAAGCCATCCTACGTAACAGACGGAGCTCATGCGCGAGTGGTGCTTTTTGACTTTGGAATCAGCCAACAAGTGGCTTGACCTCTCTCCAAGAAAAGTATCAACAACTCCAAGAGCATCCGTGATCGCCTATTCCCTCGTCCTCCTCCTCGCAATTTCCGTTCTCTTGGCCATGAGTATAACACGGGAATATGCGTAATGGGTCGATGGTAGGCTGCCTGGTAAGTAGGAGAGAGGTCACGCTGGACTCGGGCCTTGATAGTGGGACATTGGTCCACTGTCCCCCTTGATTAAGGTTTGCTTGGTTGTGCGAGACAGCCACAAGCGTAAGAAATGGATTGGGGATCGTGATTCTGGGATCCTGGGGTTCGTTAAGCTCCTTTTGCCCTTTTTTTCTCTCTTCCTTTTCTTTTTTCTTTTCTTTTCATCTCGTTTCTTCCTCTGTCCCGTTGCCAGATTCCACACAGCCAATCACTCTTGAGTGGTGCATACCCGGGAGCCAGCCGAAGACGCGAAAGACGGTTCGTTCGTTGCGTGACCTGGATGAGTCAGCTGGGACTAGGCCGTTGGAAACCTAGTACGGACTAGGTAAGTATGTATATGTACTGTACAGTGTACATTCACCGGGCAGGAGCAGCCGAAGAAGACGACCTCGTGATAGGCCAAAACGGCAAATTTCCCCGCCGAAAGCAGCCCACATGCCCCACTCCACCATCAGATCCCGCTACAATTGGTCGATGCGGTCACCGTGCAGACCCTTGCAATGCCACTGGCTGCTGCCAGCCATGTGAAGCGTGCAACATTTGACCAGCACTCATTGGAACTTTCAAGCCATGGAAGGGAACGAACGGTGAAAGGCAAAGTTGGGCTAGATCATTCCGGCAACGCCAAATGACAAAGAGACCCCGCCATGAAACATACAGTAGCGCGCTGCAGCTTCCTGTGACCTGTGACGGGCAGAAGAAGTTGCGAAGGCAAAGTTAGGAAGGCAGGTGTGTGTGTACAGTAATACAGCGTACAGTGTAGGTACCGGGGTCTCTTGGCTTCCACCCAGGTTCCTTCCTGGAACATCATTCAGCCCACACACTGCAAGGGTCTGACGACAAACCACCACCACCCTCTGCTGTTATGTTGTGTTTCCACTCCTTCGAGCCGGCAACTTTTTTTTAACCCCCCTCGTGTGTCTGTTTTTCTCTTCGCTGTGGAATTGTTCGCCCAGCTCGTGCCATCAGTCTTTCTTTAGCAGTCAGTCAGCTTTCGATCAGTTTTCCCAACGACAAAGACACTCCGTCAGCTCCGTTTCTGGCCTGGGAGGTGCCGTCCCTGCCGTCTGGGTCTTCCTCCCATGGAAGCGTGACGGCCGTCACCCCCGAACTCAGCACCAGAAAGCAAGGAAAGAAAAGACAAGAGAAGAAAAGAAAAGACCTCCCGGGGCGTAAAACGGGCCGCGAGACATCAACGTCAAGCACCATTATGTCTCGGATCCTGGCCAATTTCTAGCCCTGGCACCTTCGCCGGACCTTCCTGGCCCAACCCCGTTCTGATCTGACCGACAAGCCCGAATCTGGGCCGCGTCCACGAGGACTCGCACCCATCTCGAACCGTTTACCCCGGATTGCACGCCGCCCGAAGCCACTCGACAAACCTACCAGATACCACGATACGATTGTGGGGTGTGGAATAAGACTTCCGCCGCAGTAGGCAGCCAATGCTTCCGACTCAATTGGCCCTTTCGCCAAGCCCCGATTCACAATGGAGGGAGAACCCACCACGCCCAACACCCTGGCTCCGCCGATTGTTGCGTCGCTGAGGGCTGGCCTCATGGAGCGGTCACTCAGCGCGGACATTCGGGAGGAGCGGGAGGACCTCCGAGAGGCAGCCGAACAGACCCTCAATGTCATCATGGACCTCAACCCGGACGGGACCATCCGATGGGTCAGTCCCTCGTGGACCGACGTTATCGGAACCCAGGCCGAGTCCGTAGTTGGCACATGCATTGCCGACCTGATCGTGAGCGACAACACGTCCGTCTTTGCCGACATTGTCGAGTCCATGAAGAAGGACGACTCTCGCAGCCAGTTCATCCGCTTCGCTGTCAAACTCCGTCCGCTGTCGAAGCTGTTTCCTCTCCAAGAAAACCTGGAGGAGCCCGAAGAATATGCCGGAGACACTATCGTTGACCTTGAAGCCCAGGGAATCATGGTCTACGATGGCGCATCTGGCGGAGAAAGCCATGTACGTCGACGTCTACCTCTACGCCACTTCTACCCTACTCCCACTCCCAGTCCCGCTCCTGTTGTCGAAACAGATATGCTAACCGACTGCCCCGGGTTCAGACAATGTGGATGATTCGGCCGTGGATAGCGCCGAGAGAGATCAAAATCGACCTGCCTCCTGTCATCGTGGACTCGCTCGGCTCTGGTGCTGAGGTGCTTGCAAGCTACCTTACCCAGCTCGCCGAGTCTGGAGTGGAGGACCCAGCGAATCAACCACCTCCGCTCCCGCTCCTCTGCCGGATATGCGAACGCCATATCTCTCCGTGGTGGTTCGAGAAGCACACCGATCTCTGCCTGCAAGATCACCGTGCCGAGATGGACGTGCAAATGGCGCAGGAGGTCCTGACCGACCACCGGCACGCGATTGTCAAGGTTCTCGATGCGTTGGAGGTACGGCGAAGCCGGTCTTTGACTGGAGACCCCATGTCACTACCCGTCGCCGAGTACAAGGGGATGCCAATCGGCCCGCCCTCGTCCTCGGCCTCTTCCCCAGGAACGGCATCCCCTGCGCCCAGTGCCTCGTCCGGGTCGTCTACAGGTCGATCGCGGGAGAGCTCGTCCGGCTTCGGCCATGCCAGAGGCCGCTCGTTCGCGATACGTCGGCCGCAGGTCAGAATCGTCGAGCTCCTGCTCGATCTTTGCGACACCTCCATTGAGATCAGCCCCCCAGCCGTCAAAGAATCGTCGCAGAACCCTGGCGAGTTCCGCACACAGTCTCCCCAGTCCGAAGGCCGGATCGCACAGGTCATGCAGTGGGAAACGCCAGGCACAAACACTCTTGAGCAGGAGCACGGCCTTGCTCTGCTCTGCGCCGACACCGAGAAGGTCGCCAAGGCCAAAGTCGAAGCCGTCATGCGCCACCGGAAGATTCTTGAATACGCAGAACGGATTCGCGTCGAGTTCGCTATCATGGTCCAGGACTGCATCGACGAGGCCGTGCGAAAAGCGGCCAGGATTGCCGCCGGTCGCCTGAGTGACTCGACTGAGGATGAAGAGGACAAGCCCACACCGGCCAACGAGGAGGCATTCTTTGCTGGCTCCTTCGACGCCCCGTCTAGCCTGGCCATGGCACTGAAGAACGCGAACATTGAGGAAGATCCGGACAAGCGACGACTATCGGGGCCACTATCGGGGCCTCTTGGATCCACTCGGTCAAGCAGTCCCAAGGAATGCCCCACGCCTCGCTCTCATCGTGGCGCGCTCAGCGCATTGACGGGTCAAAGCAGGGACTCGAGGCGTGGCTCCATGCTGTTCGAGAGCGACGCAGGAGATAGTGACGGCAGCATGAGGTCGTCTTCTGTTGCCTCCCGGCAGCCTCCTCGCACCGAGTCACCCATCTCGGAATTTGGCGATCTTCGGAGACAGGCCAGCTCGCGTCAACATCACCGGCGCAGCCTGATATTGCCGGGAACCTCGTCCCCTCGTCGTCAAGAATCCCCCTCTCGGATGGGCCAGCAGCCTTCGTCTCCGCTTCGGATTCACAAACCACGCAATCTTCCGTTCCCATCTGATGGCCTTATGTCTCCCGAGGCTTCCCCAATGCTATCGACGAGCGAGTTCAGCTCCCCGGCACTTCCTCATCACCGCCACCACAGACGGCAGTCCTCGGCTGCTATCTCGGCATCGACGGGAGAGTTTGGAGCCAGGCCGCCACCATCTCCCCGCCTCAGCGCCGTCGTTAGTGCCCCGCAGGCCCGGGCTGTCCCTCCCTCCATCAAGGATTTCGAGATCATCAAGCCCATCAGCAAGGGCGCCTTCGGAAGCGTGTACCTCTCTAAGAAGAAGTCGACGGGCGAATACTTCGCCATCAAGGTCTTGAAAAAAGCAGACATGGTTGCCAAGAACCAAGTCACCAACGTCAAGGCGGAGCGAGCCATCATGATGTGGCAAGGAGAGAGTGACTTCGTTGCCAAGCTCTACTGGACCTTCTCGAGCAAGGATTACCTTTACCTAGTGATGGAGTATCTCAATGGAGGCGACTGTGCTTCGCTCATCAAGGTTCTCGGCGGGCTGCCTGAGGACTGGGTCAAGAAGTACCTTGGCGAGGTCATCCTCGGCGTGGAGCATCTCCACAGTCGAGGAATTGTGCACCGAGACTTGAAGCCAGACAACCTTCTCATAGACCAGAAGGGCCATCTGAAATTGACCGACTTCGGCCTCTCTCGTATGGGTCTAATCGGTCGCCAGAAGCGAGCTCTGCACAGTGGCACCGACGCCGCGCCCGATCTGCTCAAGCAAGGTCCGTTTGCGCGGTCCTCGTCGCTTACCTCGTCCCGCTCGACCTCGCTGGATCTGCACGCTGGTCGCAGCCACTCGCCGATATCGACACCTCAGATGACCCCGAGCGACTTGGGGACTAGCCTTGGACCTCCCTCGTACTTCAACCTCGGCGGCCCCCCCCAAGAATCCCGTCGAGTGTCCGGCCATCGAAGCGACAGTGGCGGCAGTGAGGCTCTGGCTCACATGCTAGGCCACTTTTCGCTGAGCGATACTCCGTCCAACATGGTATCATACGGAGTTCAATCGCCGATAGGGGAGCACAGTGAAGGGGAATGTGGCCATTCGCCCGACTTCATGTCGCTTCACCATGTCGGCTCGCATAATAGCGCCGAGAGCGGGAAAGGAACTCCCCCACAGACGAGTATGCCACCGCCGAACTGGGCTCTCTTCGACCCGGAGGACACCAATCGGCGATTTGTTGGAACTCCGGATTACCTCGCGCCCGAGACGATCAAGGGCGAGCCCCAGGACGAGACCAGCGATTGGTGGTCTGTGGGGTGTATCATGTACGAGTTCATCTATGGCATGCCTCCCTTCCATGCAAGCGAAGCCGAACAGGTCTTCGAGAACATCTTGGCCCGCAGAATCCATTGGCCGGATGAGAGCGAGGACGAGGTTTCTCCCGAGGCGAAAGATATCATCAACAGGCTTCTATGCACCGATCCGCAGCAGAGACTCGGCGCCAATCGCGACGAGAAGTTCCAGTCCGGCGGCGAGGAGATCCGCAACCATCCGTGGTTCCAGGGAATGAACTGGGAGAGTCTGCTTCAGGACGAGGCGCAGTTCGTCCCGCAGCCCGAGAACCCGGAAGACACGGAATATTTCGATGCCAGAGGAGCGACGCTGCAGTCTTTTGCCGAGGAGATGGAAGACCAGACGTCGCCACCATCCGCGCCAGCTCCGGACTATCCCGATCGGCCACACGATGCTCTTTCCCGTGTCCGGTCGCAGGTGAACTCGATGAAGCGGGGCCTGATGCCGCTTCACATTCCCCCACACGTGCGAGACTTGAAGACCAGACGCCTGAGCGAGCCGGTTGCCACGGATGATTTTGGCAATTTCGCCTTCAAGAACCTGCCCGTCCTCGAGAAGGCAAACAAGGATGTCATCCAGAAACTGCGTGCCGAGGCACTGGCGGCACAGAGTAAACAACAGGCATCAACCATCAGCCCGGGCGGCATGAACAGCCTCACGTCTCCGGGGCCAACGCTTGAGGGCAGTCCCGTCCTCTCCATGCCTGTGCAGAGGACGCTCTCAAATGCGAAGGCGTCGCAACGGCCGCAGTCCCCGTCTGGGACTGGCCACACCAACTCGTCGCCTAGCAGGATCTCCCAGCCGTCCTCCCCTTTACTTGTCTCGTTTGTTGCCGGGCAGGGCACAGAGGGCCGTCGGAAGGCTTCGAGTAATTCATCGAGTCTCTCGCATACGTCCGCACAGTCACTGCAGCCAGGTGGATTCTTCGAGGTTCCACGGGTTCCGCCAAGCCTGCAGAAAGCAGCGACCACTGTGGCTGCCTCCTCGCCGGTCAAGGCCCGGGGCGCGCCGCCTCCACTGGCCCTTTCGCCGCAGAAGTTTGTTTCTACGCCTCGGCAATCCAGCATCTCCGCAGGCAGCCGGTCACGGTCTTTGACCGCCGGCTCCCAGGAAGGAAGTCCCGTCACTTCCGACATACTGGCCGCGCATCATCGGAATCGTCGCAGCCAGGTCTTCGACATGTCGCCGTCCTCATCCGATAACGAAGGCGAGAAAGCGAACGCGCTGCTCCGCGTGCAGCGTCGCCGCCAGAGCTCCAGGCGCATGTCTCAGGTTGCGCTCGACGGGCCAATGTTCCGTACCCTCGACGTTCTGATCTGTGAGGACCACCCTGTCTCGCGCATGGTGATGGAAAAACTTCTCGAGAAGCTACACTGCCGCACCATCTCCGCGTCGACGGGATCCGAGGCTGTGCGATACTCGATGAGTGACATCAAGTTCGACATCATCTTCATGGAGTTCAGGCTGCCGCACCTCAGCGGGGCCGACGTTGCACGGATGATCCGTGACACCAAGAACGCCAACTCGAACACGCCTCTCGTCGCCATCACGGCCTACCTCAAAGAGCTGCAGGCGCCGCACTATTTCGACTCCCTCGTCGAGAAGCCCATAAGCTCCTCGAAATTGACCGAAGTCCTAGGCAACCTTTGCCAGTGGAAGCCGGCTTCCCCGAGCCAGACCAATTCGCTGTCGTTGTCGCTTCCCCACCCCGTACCTTCTGGTCTGAGGCAGGAGAGCCTCCGTCTGGAAGATAGCCCCACCTCTGGCTCGTCTGGCTGCGCGCATCGATCCAGCGGCAGCTTCCGCGAGGGTTCCATTGGCTCCAGTCTGTTCGGGGACTCGGAATCGGTCTCCACCGATGACATTTCCGTCGTCATCAGTCGAAAGGTCACGGGGGATTGGGATGAGGGCGGCCTCGGTATTAGCGGCCCCGACGAGATTCTACTCAACACCAGCGAAGCCTTGAAATTACCACTCCCCATACAGCTGGTCACGCAGCACTCGGCACCTGGGCAGATGGAGCGTTCACCGGCGAACACCAAGACGCCTGTCCCGCGGCGCTCCATGGAGAAACTCAAGGCCAAGCGGGAGTCGATTGAGAAGAGACGGCTCGAAGGCAGCGTCGACTCTGCCGATGACGAGGACGAGGAACTTGGCCTTGGAGCTACCATGAGCCACAGCAGCAGCGGCAGTGGCAGCGGCAGCGGCAGCGGCAGTGGCAGTGGCAGTGGCAGCGGGAGTGCCAGTGCCAGCGGGAGTGTCAGCGGGAGTAACGGCGGGTCAGCCAGCAGGCAGCATTACCGAAGCAAATCGATTCTGCCTTCATCGAAGCTCGGCATCGAGATGATGCGGGCGAACAGTCATGACAGTGTCAACATGAACAGCTCCGAGAGCACTAGCACCATAGAACCGACATCACAGGTGGTTACGCCCAATCGAGAGTTAGCGGGAGCCTTCCATAACCCCATCACGACCCCTGAGCCGCTCTCGCCAATGATGGACGAAGACGGTGACACTACCGTCATCCACGTCCAGACTCCACCGGAGCAGGGGACTTCCGAAGGAGTATTCATGACATTGGCGGACGCAGAGGAAACACCTCGTCCCACGCCGGCGTCAGAACGGGACATGGCCGACGATGGGGAACCAACCCCTCGGCCCCCGACCAGGATATCGGAAGCCAAGGACTTCCCGTTGATGGGCGGGTTCTAAGGGCCCTTAAGATTGGAACACCGATTTCCCTGCACCACATACATGACAGCTCCAATCGAGCTACCTAGTCATTTCACCACCAAAACATTGGGGCTCACTTGTTAATTTTCTGTTGATGTCTTTTTTTCCTCAACTTTTATTTTCTCTTTCTACCTCTTTCCAATTTTGTCATTTCCTGACTTCAGCGAGGCGTTTGCAGGAATGGTTGGCGAACAAGACCGTATATTTATTTCTCTCCTTTGTCTGAATTATCGCTAGTATGTCATGGCAGCGCAGGTGTGGAACCAGGGGCGTCAACAAATCTGGCGTTTTTGAGGGTTGATTTGTGAGAATGATCAAAGTCGGGGTTCAAATCGGCATTCATCGGCTCTGTGGATGCAGCAGCGGATAGAGAGGACCGATCCGGGTGAAGAATTAGGGGGTGGTTGGGAGAGAGAGCAGTTCTCCGTTTTACATTTTCGCCCACATTTGCACAAGACTGCATACGCTCGTTACATACATCTTCGCTCCTTTACGGATGGGCATCAGGCATTGGGGAAGCATGAATGGGATGATGGCACACTGGACCACACCCCACAAACCCCATGCCCCTTGTCCTTCCACTCTCTCTTTCGTTATCGATATTTATCTGCCGGGCTGCCCGGGGGTAGGTAGTCTACATAATTGGGCTGCTTTGTACGTTATAGCTACCTGTTGGGAAAGGTCTGGCAGGGTTTTATTTTCTTCCCTTTTTCCAATGCCGTGGCCGGCGCCGACTTGAAGAACAACCACTTCCGTGCGGGGAGTGGGGAGAGTGGGGGGTTCAGTGGATGGAGGCATGTTCGTTCTAGCCAGGGACAATGGTCTGAGAGGAGACTTGGCGTTGTCTGCTGATATTGAGGTCCAATCTCATATTAAAAAAGCATCCGAATTTAGAAAGTGGTCACGAGCCCCCCTGGGTGGGAATCATGGGCATGCAATGCAAAGACATGGAACCTATCTACTTATTAGTGAGTCTGGGCGTTTGTTTCGGCGGCTTTAGCGGACGGGGAATATTTGTCGTGAAGCACCCTGACACCCTGACTAGGAGGATTACGGATAGCTGTATGCTCATGGTAGGTAGCGTGCAGCACGCTTAGCGCGGCGCGCGGGGTTGTGCGACTACGCAGTCGGGTTGAATTTAAGCGGATTTTACTCCCCTTGTGTGAGGCTACGACTAATAACCTAGTTGACGACTGGCAATGGAACCTGCCTAGCATGTGGTAGCAAACGGTATCGTTATTCGCCCGAGTAACTGGCCATCTTTCTTTCTATAACATCATCAACCATCATCATTATCTTGTTTCTGCTCCTTCTTCTTCTTGCCACCTAGCCGAGCATGCCAACAGGATTGAGGGTGATTTAACAATGGAGGAAACATTTGCGGCTCCAATATGAGGGACAAGGTGACATCAGAATAGCCTGGTTACTGGTTAATCAAGTCAGCACATGCGCCACACGCAACATTGGCGCCGGGATGCCCGCGAGCTGGGTATCTCATTGGCGGGTCCCCCAGCTTCAGTCAGGAACTGCGGGCTGGGGGCCCCACTGGATCTGGCCCTGTCATTCACACACGTGTGGGAATTGAGATGTGTGATTGGTCCAAAGTTCTCGGGGTTTTCAGGGTGAAGTGCCGCAACCGATCGCCGACCCGCAGGGACACGCACGTCTTGGATTCCGGGGGTGCAGAAGGAGGAACACAACACCAAACACAAGAAAACGTTAATGTCGTTCCACGTCCGACGAAGATCTGCAAAATCTGGGTGGGGGAACAGCGTCATTTGGTTCTTGTCGGGTTTCCCTCTCGGCTCTCGGCCTTGTATCAACAGTCGCCTGCGTGACGTCGTCACTATACTATGTAGTTAGGAAGACTGTCGAAATCACTCTCCTGGCTGTCCACCCGCAACGTCTAGAGATGGCACGTGGGTGGGTAAGAAGTTGAGGATGGAGGATTGGGGGATGCAACTCAATGTAGAGAACCAGGGGGGTACCCAGCAAGAACTGCAGGGAATTGTCTTCGCCAAGCGGATGCCAAGTGGATCCCCCGTGGCGGCCACCAGATCTGAGAATCTGGATCGCGTGAGACATTTCCTATTTCGGACTGGGGCGCCTTTACTCTTCAGCATTCGCAGTGGAGGTCGAAGAGATTTCTTGCTTCGACACCGCCGGCCGGTCTTAGAAGTACTTTTCGCCTCGGAGCGGTCGGTGCCAGTGTGTTGGTAGGCCGAACTTAGCTCAATTACCAGGTACATACCTTTAGGTAAAGTGACCGTGTAAAAAAGGTGGGTTCGTGGGATGGAAGGTTGAGATATCCCACACCTACCATTCTCTCTCTTTCTCACGTCTTATTCTGTGGCCCCCCTCCCTGTCCCTTCCTCTCCCTCTTCTCCTCTTATAAAATCAATCCCACGGACTCCTGACTTCTATCCTCTGTGTGCCCTCTCTTACCTCCCCAAAACACTCCTGCTGGTGCTTTCGCCACCTAGTTTATCGGCCTTCTGCTCGATAAACTTTCCGACCAGCAAGGAACGTCCCGCTTGTGGCCACTACCCCCAACCACCACCACTCTCTCTCTATCTCTTGATGGCGAATCTCCTGAGCCATCACCGCCGCCATGATCCGGCATTAGGCGAGATCCCCGTGCCCCACGGCCCAGAGACAGGCCAGGAGCACGACGACTACCCCATGAACGACGGCACCACCGACGAAGAGCGCCAGATCTTCAGCTACCTGACGCACCCGGACGACTGCTTCACAAAGGATGGCGTCTACTGGGCGGACCTCCCGCTGCGGAAGCGCATCACCTTTGTCAACCGGGTACACAATGAGGAGGCCCTGAAGGAGCTCAAGACGATCGGCCAGATGGCCAAAAAGGACCCGCTGAGCCCCATCAGCTGGTACTTCCGAAACGCCGTCCTGCCCGGCGCGGGGCTCGGGCTCGAGGGCTACGTGCTCTTCAGCATCGGCAACCTGGAGCCGCTGTTCAGCGCCACCTGGCCGCAGTGCTGGGGAAAGAACGCCACCGAGTGCAGCCGGAACTGGATCGCGAGCGTGACCTACCTCGAGGTCATTGGCATCATGGTCGGCCAGATGGGCGTCGGAATCATCGGCGACTGGATCGGCCGCCGGTGGGGGCTGATCCAGGACGCCGCCATCATGTTCGTCGGCCTGCTCATGCTGACTGCCAGCTGGGGCTTGAACTTGCAGGGATGGGTCATATGCTATGCGTGGTCACTGTTCTTCTATGGTATGTTTTCTCTTCCCTCTACCTCGATGTACGGTACATGCCTCGGGAATAAGTATGCTGACCATGTGCTTCTTCCAGGCTTCGGTGTTGGAGGCGAGTATCCCATCACGGCCACCTCGTCCATGGAGAACGCCGTCAGCGCTGGCAAGTTGTCAACACGCGACGACCGGCTGCACCGCGGACGGAAGGTCACCATGGCCTTCCTGATGCAGGGCTGGGGCCAGCTGATCAACCAGGCCATTCTCATTGTGCTGCTGCTCATCTTCCACCACGGCAGCGGTGATCCGCCCTATAGCGTCAAGGCGGTGCAGTGGACGTTCCGCCTCTCGTTCGCGCTCCCCGCCATCGGCACGCTGTGGCTGGTGTACTACCGCATCTACAAGATGCCGCACGCCAGCCGGCAGCTCGACGCGGCCAAGCGCAAGAGCAACGTGACGGGCTACGACGTGTCGTCGCTCAAGACGGCCTGCCGGCACTTTGGCGGGCGCCTGCTGGCGACGGCGGGGACCTGGTTCTGCAACGACGTCTTCTTCTACGGCAACAAGCTCTTCCAGGGCCAGTTCATCGGCGTCATCTCCAACAACCCCCAAAGCGTCATGGAGACGTGGGTGTGGAACCTGATCAACGTCGTCGTCTCCATGGCGGGCTACTATCTGGCCAGCCTGCTAATCGACCACAAGCTATACGGCCGCAAGATGATGCAGCAGGTCGGCTTTTTCATGTGCTTCATCATGTTCGTCGTGCCGGCCTTCAACTACTACTACTACACCCAGCCCATGGGCATCCACTCGTTCCAGGCCATGTACTTCCTCAGCAGCTTCTTCAACCAGTTCGGCCCCAACAGCGTCACCTTCCTCGTGGCCGGCGAGGTGTTCCCCACGCCCATCCGCGCCAGCGCCCACGGCTTCTCGGCCTGCATCGGCAAGGCCGGCGCCCTGCTGGCCAGCGTGCTGTACAACTACATCGACACCCAGACAAAGTTCTACGTCGTGCCCTGGTTCGGCCTGCTCGGCATGCTGTTGACCTTCCTCTTCCTGCCCGACACGACGGGGCTCGACCTCAAGGAGCAGGAGCGCCGGTGGTCGTACATCCGCGACGGCCGCGCTGACGAGTACCATGGCGTCGCCGTCCACCCGGCCCACCTGAGCCTGTGGGAGCGTCTGCGCGGCGATGCCCGCGCCTACAACCCGGAGCTGGACACAAAGTCCAAGATCGAGGACTTCAGGCGCGAGTGGCAGGAGAAGGAGAACGAGAAGAGGGAGCTCGAGGTCAGCGGCAACCACGGCCTGCTGTCGCAGCTGGAGAGCGACGACGACTTCAACGAGCATGTGCACGGCTACTTCCGCGGCACGGGGGAGAAGGGCGAGAAGGGGGAGAAGCCGGACATGAGCCCGGAGAAGGGGAAGGGGAAGGAGACTGGCGTCCTGGTCGGGGAGAAGACCCCTCAGTCCGGGGAGAGCAGCAGCAGCGGCGCAAGTGCATACTAGTATAGAATCAGCTGGGCGCTGGCAAGGGAGATAGATGTTGGGTTCGGGATTTTCTTTTTTGTTTTTCCTTTTGGCATGGAGCCTGAAGCTGGCAAGTGGCCAGCATTAGGGCTTCTTCACGAATAAGCATTGGGCATTGTGCTTCGTTCAGCAGCATGGCGTTAAAGAGGCTGCTCAGAGGGAGCACCATTTCTGGGATTGGCTTCATGGGGGAGAAGGAATGATATCAAGAAGGAAACGTGCATAGCATGCCAGTTTGCACTAGGATATTTGCTGTTGGAGTAAAACTAGGCATCATGAGGAATGGCATCAAACAAGCAAAAAAAGGCTATTCTAACTATCATTATGTGCTCGTCTTCCTCCTCTTACTTGACCGAAGTATCCTGGTGACAACCTTGACCTCCGTCGTCTCCTGCCCCTCCTCCACCTTGAGGCCCGACTCCCGCTCCGCCATCTTCCTCTTCCGCTTCCTCCCCACCGCCGCCGCACTAGCGACCGCAACCATCCCATCCTCCCCATCCTCCCGCTCCTCAACCTTAACGACCTGCTTCTTCTCCTCCCGGTCCTCTCCGTCGACCCTCGCAACAGCAGTCCCCCGGCGACCGCCGCCCCCAGCAGCTTGCTCAGCAAACGACCTCAGATTCGCCGTGAACAGCACGCTCTGCGCCCAACCAGCATACGGCCCCCACACGGCCCGGAAGTGATCCCCCACGGCGTCGTACATGGCCTTGCTAATCGCCTTCCCCGAAGAAGACGAAGAAGAAGAACCGCCCGACCCACCGCCGAACCCGTAGTCCCGCCGCGCGATCCGCCACACGTGCGTGTCCACCGGCACCGCCTCGGCCCAGCCGAGGCCCATCAGGCACACGCAGTCGGCCACCTTGGGCCCCACGCCGGGGAGCGCCAGGAGCGCGTCGCGGGCCGCCTTGTACCCGTCGCCGGTGGACGAGTCCGGCGGTGTGGGGGTGCTCGACGACGGGTTCCGCAGCCCGGCCAGCCAGCCCGGCGGCCGCTCTGTCGCGACCTGCCTCGCCGCGTCGGCGACGTAGCGCGCGCGGTAGCCGAAGCCGAGGGCGCGGAGGGCGGACTCGACCTCGGGACCGGCCAGGGCGTCTGGGCCGGGGAGGTCGTGGAAGGGCGGGTCGTGGTCGTCGGCGTCGTTGGCGGTGGGGGAGGAGGAGGAAGAGAGGCGCCCGAGGTCGGGCCCGAAGCGGGCGCACAGGCGGGCCAGCATGCCGGCGATGCGGGCGATATTGTTGTTGCTGCTGCAGATGAAGGCCACGAGGGCCTCCCAGGCGTCCTGGTTCAGGATGCGGACGCCGCCGAAGGCGGCCGAGCGGCGGGCGAAGTTGGCGTCGCGGGATGACCAGGTAGCGTACAGAGCAGGGAGGGAGTGGTCGAGGTTGAAGTAGCTGCGCACGAGGGCGAGCGTGTCGTCTTCCACGCCGGGGCTGCTCGAGCTGGGTTTGCCGGGAGGCGACGGCACGCTCAGGGGCTTGGTAGCGGTTGCCGCCGCCGCCTCCGTGCTGGGCCATGTCGCCTTGTAGTGCAGGTGGGTGGCGTCTTGCCTAAGCGAGACGATGCGCCCTTGGAGAGCACAGTGCCTGGGCATCAGGGTCAGTCTCATAGGTAGCTTGGAACCGAAATAGGGGGTGTAAAGGGGCAGACAGGGCAGACAGACCACTCATCGCCGATTTTGCGCCACCTAAACGCCTGCCCGCAGCGCAATGTCGTGTCGATACACAGCTCGGTGAGGCTCAGGGGCAGCTTGCGCCATTCCGAAATCCCCGGCACGGAGGCCATTTTCATGGTTGGACGTGATGTATCGCCAGTCTTCAACCTCCTTGATCAACCGATCACCCCAAATTCCAAGTAGCAGAGATTTGATTGGAGAGTTCAATACAAAAACGGTCAAAACCGACCAATGACTTCAATAGATCAATCTCAGAGGAATATCCCGTGTCAGAGAAGAGAGTTCAAGAGGTGTGAGAACATCTGAGGTCACGCCGCGTTTAGAGTGAGGAACCACGCTTTGACAATAAGATCATACTCACTCACACGTCCTTGGGGATAATGTCGCTGATCTAGGGTAGCTGGGTAGCTGAGCCCTTCAAAGTCTTATTAGATCTCAGATCTCAGGTCCGTCCTGTAGCTTAATGAAGATATTGAATTATCCGTAATACTGGTCCCGAGTGATGCATGGTGCTCACTAATCTAACCCAAAGCAGGCTAGCGTATAATTCCTCACTTCCAAAAAAAGTCCAGCCTTGTTGACAGGCTTCGCCTTCCTCTTCAGTGGCGTACCTTCCATTGAGACTCGACTACAGCATTCCTATTCTCAGTGACTATGAACGGCGATAGCTACTCTTCTCGCGGTGAGTTGTTCCAACGGCATATGAGAGCCATCTTCTTTCGGATGTTCTTCGAGAACTAACCCTAAATCTGATAGACGCTGGCCGGCACGGCTCGTCCAGAGATTACCAGGTTCGTTCTTACTACGTTTACTCCTTACTCCAATTACTCCAAGAGAGAGAAACATAATGCCAACAAGGATGCAGCGCCGTGACCGCGGTGATAGGGGCGAACGCGATGACCGACGAGACCGTGGAGACCGTGGCGGCGGCCGCAGGCGATCCAGGTCTCCAGGCTATCGAGGTGGAGGCGGAGGCGGAGGCGGAGGCGGACGTGGGCATCGCGATGATGGCGAGGTCGATTCCTACTCTTCGAGTCGCCGGCACCAGGAGCGCGAACGCGAGGACCGCTACTCTGGTGGCGGCGGCGGGAGAGACCGGCGTGCGCCAGACAGGGAATGGGATCGCGATCGGGGCGCTGGCAGACGCGACGCTCGCCGAGACGACGACGACCGGATGGACCGACGGCCTGGCCGGGATCTGTTCGAGGACCGCAGAGGAGGCGGCCGCCGAGACGTCCACAATAGGGAGCATGAGCGCGACCGCAAACGGAGCGCATCCCCCCCGCCGAAGAAGCGCGAGCCCACCCCAGACCTTACCGACGTCACCCCCATCCTGGAGCGGAAGCGCCGCCTGACTCAGTGGGATATCAAGCCGCCAGGCTATGAGAATGTTACGGCCGAGCAGGCCAAGTTGTCGGGCATGTTCCCTCTGCCTGGCGCCCCACGGCAGCAGGCCATGGACCCCACGAAGCTTCAGGCGTTCATGAACCAGCCTGGCGGAGCCGTCAATAGTTCTGCGCTCAAGCCGACAAATTCACGCCAGTCGAAGCGTCTAATCGTCTCGAATATCCCCCCCACCGTCACTGAGGAGGATGTCCAGGGCTTCTTCAACCTGCAGCTCAATGGCCTGAACGTCGTCGACAGCGCCGACCCTTGCGTCCTGTGCCAGGTCTCGCCCGACCACAAGTTCGCCATGCTCGAGTTCAGAACTAGCGCTGATGCTACTGTAGCGTACGCGCTGGACGGCACGACGATGGAGGCAGCCGATGCCAATGCCCACGAAAACGGAGGCGCTCCCGAGGGCCTCATTATCAAGCGGCCTAAGGACTATATTGTGCCGGCTGTCGCCGAGGTGCCCTATGAGCCAGGTGTGATCTCGAATATCGTGGTCGACACTCCAAACAAGATCAGCGTGATGAACATCCCCCCGTACCTGTCTGACGAGCAAGTCACCGAACTGTTGGTCAGTTTCGGCGAGCTCAAGGCCTTCATTCTCGTCAAAGATAGTGGCACCGAGGAATCGAGAGTAAGCATTTTTCACGTCCCCTAAAATTAGGAAACAGGGAAAGAAAGATTAGCTAATATTATTCAGGGTATCGCCTTCTGCGAATACGTCGACGGTGCTGCCACCGAAGTCGCCCTCCAGGGCCTCAACGGAATGGAGCTCGGAGACAGGAGACTGAGAGTCCGGAAGGCCAGCATCGGCATCACCCAGGTTTCTGGCGAGATGGGCGTTAACGCCATGTCCATGCTTGCCGGGACCACGTCTACAGATCCAGAGGTTGGGAGGGTTCTGCAGCTGCTCAACATGGTTACTCCTGACGAGCTCATGGACAATGACGACTACGAAGGTAAGCCATCATTCCCTGCTAGGTACCTAAGGCGTCCATTTTTCTAACCTCTTTTTTAAGAAATCCGAGAGGATGTCATGGAGGAGTGTTCCAAGTTCGGCATCGTCGTCGACCTCAAGATTCCGAGACCTGTGGGTGGGAGTAGGCAGTCGGCAGGTGTAGGCAAGATCTTTGTCAAGTTCGACACGCCCGAGACTGCCAAGAAGGCCTTGGAAGCCCTGGCCGGACGGAAGTTTGCGGATCGGACAGTCGTGACAACCTACTTCCCCGAGGTAAGCTAATCCATCCTTTCTTTCCATCATTGCCTACTATACAACCGATGCTAACCACCCACGCCTTCAAATAGGAGAACTTCGATGTCAGCGCATGGTAGATAGAGGCATTCAGTCTAGGATGGTATGGTGTCAGGGTAGTATGGTGGTGTCGTAGAAGATTCGGGGAGCAACCCAAGGTATTCGTCTGCCGGCTTCGCTTGGGATCAGGCGGGTTCTAGCACAAACGTCTCCGGGCATCATGATGTACAGTATTCCATATGGATTTGGGCGTTCAGCAGCTACTGGGGTGAAAACGCGATATGCTCTGTGCTATATGACCTTGAAACTGAAGCAGCTCGACTACGAGTCCACACAATTGCGACCAGACTTCCCAGAGGCCACAAAAATATGCTTCTAGTCCAATGTTGAAAATATGCTACCCATTTCGCTATGCAATCGGCGGTAACCGGACGGTTTCTGGGATCTGTAAACTGCGGCCCTCAGTTAGCTGGTGGTCTCGACAGAAAGTGGCCGGCTGAAATGTGTTTGGGGAATAGCTAGTCAGATGTCTAGTTCATTCATTGAGCGCAATAGCACTCTAACATAAGAGGTACCAGAATAGTAAGGTTGGAATCATCATTTTGGGGAGCTGGAAGGGGTCATAAGGGATGGTTATGAAGGGGCTACTCACCAATTAAAGGAAGTCTAGAGATAGATTCATGGCTGGTTAGTATTTGGAGGTCATCATCTCCTCGCAAGCATGCGAGTGTCTATCCAAAGTGGAAGGTATTCGACTTGGAGGGCAGAAGAAAAGTTGAGCTTGGAGGGAAGGAAATTTAAGAGAGATATAAGCAAAGGCTATATGGGCGAGGTCAGACTTTTCCTCATGTGACTTGAATGCACCCAACCAATCAACGACTGACCCTAATTAACCGAGGAAATTCCCCCAAACCCACAGCGAAACTCCCCTAGGCGGGTCTCGAAAAGGAAAAAATAAGTTCGCGACAACCTCTCTCACCCCTTCAACCTTTTATTTCCGATCCATCTCGTCGAGAACACCGAACAGCCGTCACCATGGGTCGTCTTCACAGCAACGGAAAGGGCATTTCGTCCTCGTCGATCCCCTACTCGCGCACCCCTCCCACATGGCTCAAGACCACCCCCGAGCAGGTCGTCGACCAGATCTGCAAGCTCGCCAAGAAGGGCGCGAGCCCCTCCCAGATCGGTGTCGTCCTGCGTGACTCGCACGGCATTGCGCAAGTGAAGGTCGTCACTGGTATGTTGTTTCTCCCGGCCTCCTGTCTACTCCGGGTGTTGGGCACCTGGCTTGAGGCCGTCCAGACCAGGTCAAGGATATGAGACTGACGTTGAGCTCCATAACAGGTAACAAGATTCTGCGAATCCTCAAGGGCAATGGTATGGTTTGAACGATCCCCTTCCAATCGACGAGACGACAAATCCTACAACATACCCCAACATCACCTCGCTGTGGCCGGGTTTTGCCTCAACGCTTTGGGACACCATTGCGCGGCACAAGAAAGAGATTGTTCAATGCCTCTGCTTGGTCAATGACTGACGGAGAGATGTATCAGGCCTTGCACCGGAGATCGCTGAGGACCTCTACATGCTTATCAAGAAGGTATGGAAACTGACCAAATCGAACATGCTTTCTGGGATGCCGGGGTTAGGGTTCTTCAACTGACAACATATCCCCCAAGGCCGTCGCCGTCCGCAAGCACCTCGAGCGCAACCGCAAGGACAAGGACGCCAAGTTCCGTCTCATTCTCGTCGAGTCGCGCATCCACCGTCTTGCCCGCTACTACAAGAAGGTCGGCGTCCTCCCCCCCACCTGGAAGTACGAGTCGGCGACCGCCAGCACGATCGTTGCCTAAATGTCGAAGCGGCGCGCCGGCGAGGAGGGTCGTTTCGTGGTGAATGTTACTCTTTGCGTGGCCCAAGGGTTAGGATCTCTGCGCGGCCATGGGAGTTTTGGGAGTGGAAATGAAAATTCTGCATTCTAGAAGCACTGCGATGCGCGGGGGGAGGTAGTTCCAGGGGAGGAAACCGGGACATAAAATGGTCTTAAAGAGTATCAATCGACCAGTGATGAGAATCCTTTGACTGCTATCGTGATAGTGGTATCTCCACAGATCAATATTCCGTGACAAGCACCTCGGCGCCTCTTGCTATAAAACTCATGCTGGAAGTCGCTTTTCCCATTCCGTCCCTACCTATTTCGGCCAACTCTCTCCCATAACCATGTATCCTCGATAATAGCCCTGCCAAATACCCCGTAGTCAAGACGAACCAGTCCCCTCGATCTCCTTAGAACGTTGAAGGAGGAACTCCCCCAACACGCGCAATGGGTCTTTCGGCCTGTCGTAAACGTCATAGTCAGCATCAAGCTCACGTTGCTTTTATCTTTCACACACGAGCCCCAGGCGCCCTCGATCGCACAGTGAGTGAGGAGTGAAGCGACTGCAGAATCACACACGAACCCCTCCAGTTCCAAACGTAAAGAAACGTTCGATTAGGGTTGAGAAGAGGATAGAAGAAATAAGAAACAAACTCACTGCTCCTTCGCAACAATCTTCATACCCTCCAGCAACACCCCCGTGATCTTGCCATTGATGTACTGCCGCACCGGCGCCCCGTGCGCCGCCGCCTCGGCGGGCATCGCCGGCATCGCGGGTCCGCCGCTGCCCTGGTCCGGGTGCGCCGAGGCCGATCGCGAGGCCGCCCCACCGCCGACTCCCTCGCCGTTGCGCATCGGCGTGCTGGTGCGGGCTGGGAGGGGGGAGGCTGCGCTTGGGGGTGGTGGCTGCTGTTGCTGTTGTTGGGGTGTGGCTGCTGCTGCTGCTGCTGGTGTTCCTGGCGGTGGTGGGGCTGTGGAGGGGGCGGCGGTTGCGGGTGGTGGTCCAGCGGGTGCGGTTTCGGTCGGTACTTGTGTGGGTGGGAGCTGGTTGGTGGTGAGGGAGTTGTCAGCGTGATTGTCCTACGGTAAGTTGTTTGGTCGGTTGAAGGGGAATACTCCTCTATCTTGGAGTGAATATGGCAAGGCCTGCGCATGGGTAGGCTAGCCAATTGCCCATACAACCATGTGTCAAACGCGAGAGGCATACTGTAGCTTGGTCTGACGATGCGTCTGTCATCTGGACATCCTTAGAGCCCGGCATCTGAACACCATCTGCCGCCGCCGGAGGTGCTGGTGCTGACGCTGGTGTGCCATCCTCCTGGGCTACCCTGAGAGCCTCGGCAGTGGAACTAATATCCGGTGCAGCATTTGGCGTCTCCTCTGCCACAGGAGGCAGTTTCTCTGGTTGTTCAGACATTTGGGCTACGCAATGGCAGTTTCAATCCATATGGAAAGGATCATACAGAAAGGCTGTAACATGGGAGGGAACCTTTAAATGGCCCCACCAAAACGCGTGACCACGCGTTTCGACGTGCCTCGATTCTTACCAGTTTCCAGTTTCTGTCCATTTACGCGTGTTACCATGTGCAATCTTGAGAGTGAATCATATCTGCCCCTCTCATGATGTCTGACGTCCTCTCACTCCTTTGAGATATGGATCGCTTCATTCAGAGATCACATTCTGCTCCGCGGCGAGAGCCCCTCGCCACTGCATCGTCCAAGTCTGGCAGGCGTCCAGGCGTCGAACCGCCCCTGAAAAGACCCAGATTTGAAGAGGCAGAGTCCACAGACTCCCAATTCTTTGATGACGAAGGCGAATCTCGGGAATATCGGTCGCTTCATGCCTCAGACTCTGAGCAAGTCACAGATGATGTGTTTATCCTCGAGCAAGAGACGCCCATTGAGAGCGCATTACCATCTATCAAGACCGATAGGGATGCCATCGATGAGTATGAGGCTCTGAGAGCTTCTCAATTAACAGGATCCAGTCTGGAAGATGAGACTGCCACGAGGATTGAAAAGCGGGAATGGGTCAAAGGGAAAAGCTCCATCTACGTGGACGCATTCAACCTCGCCCTAGACACTGTCCTGAAGGATGAAGCCCATTTATTTGATGCAAAGGAGAGGGCAATTTTCAGTCAATGGAGGGCACTAAACTACGAAGCTCAATACTTGTAAGTATGCCAGTTTCTGTGGCCCGGCCGGCCTCTCGCTGACTGGGGCTGGTAGATACGTTCGTCTCTTCCTGAGGAAGACTGCGTCATGGCACCGAATTGGGCGCCTCGGATATTCTAGCGACATCTCAGACATTGACCTAGCTATCCGCAGCTTGCTGGAAACTCGTGTCCTGCCCAACTCGGACTCTGAAGATTCTAGTCCAGAAGACGGGCCTCTCCACGCTGTACAGGAATGGTCTCTTGGTGACAGTTTTACTTTTGCTGATGATTCTGAAAACTCCATCAGAACTATAGAGGAGGCCGTCTCATTACTGGGCCTTGAGGAGCTAAAGAGCTTAGCCAAGGAAGCAAAAGTCCAAGGCAAGAACAAAGCGGACATAACTAAGGCATTATGTCGCATGAGCTCTCAACAGACTGGATTGATGGCATTCGGACTACGACGGCAAGATACCAATGGGTCTCCAGAAGCCCAAGACTCTCCGAAGCTCAGGACTGGCAATGTATCGGACCACCGAGACTCCAATCGCAACACACACTTTTTCGTCAAAATCATGGAAATCACAGGACCCCTGATCAGAATCTCGGAGCCAGTCTTCAGACTCTTCGAGCGGGTTCATCTCGTTTTCTACAGGTCAACCCAATGGACGGAGAAATCCCTGACGACCATCATCCTGGCCAAGATGTCACGGAGAAACTTCCCAGATTATATCGTGAGCAGGTCGTGCAACATCTTCACCTCCCGGGCCCATCTGCTCGAGTTTGAGCACTCGATGAGGAAGGAGTCCGAGGTCGACAAGGTCCTCGAATCCAACGGGCCCCCGGGAGAAGAGGGGTTCCGGCGGGTCATCGACGTGTTCGACAGCATCTCCACAAGGTGGAGAGAAGTGCTCAAGGAGGAACAGCGCAAGGAGGACAGGGTCTACGAGTCCGGCGAAGGGGGCTACTTACGACGCTTCAACCCGGGCCATGCCTACACCCGCATCGCGCACAAGGCGGCCCACGCCCACGGCCGCCTGCACGAGCACGCCAAGGAGCACGCCCTGCTCGCCGAGCTCCTCGCCCAGCGCCTCTTCCACCCGGCCCGCCGCGGCCACTGGTACCAGCGCAAGGCCCTGCTGGAGGAACACTACATGTGGGAGGCGGCGGCGGCGGGCGGAGCCGGCGACGGCGACCGTGACGACCCAGAACTGCGCATGAGGCGCTGGCGCCGCGCGGCGGCCGCCACGTGCGAGGCGGCGCTCGAGGACCGCGACTGCCACCTCGTGCACCACCACGACCTGCAGAGGCGGCTCGTCCGGCTCGAGCGCCGGCTCCGCATCCCCCGGCGCCTGCAGCACGACTTTGGCCACGTCCGGCTGCGGCGGCCCGAGGAGCACACCGTGTCGGGCGTGCAGCTTCGGCGCCGCTCGTACGACGACGATGGCGACACGAACAGGCCCAGGCCCGGGGCGGCGGGCGGGCCGAGCACCAAGACGATCTGGCTGGACGAGGAGCCGGGCGACGGGGCCGGCGGGGAGGTCTCGGTGGAGGAGATGTGCCTGTCGTGGTACCGCGGCCAGGGGTGGAAGGGGTACCACAGCGAGGGGGGCATCCTACGCACGCTGTTCGCGCTCCTCCTATACGACGTGCTGTTCCTGTACGTGCCCAACGTGTTCCAGACGGCGTACCAGACGTGCCCGCTGGACCTGCACACCGACGCCTTCTTCGCCGCCCGCGCCGGCGAGATCAACCGCCGCCTCGTGGAGATCGCCAACGGCGGCGCCGAGGCCGTCCTGCGGGCCACGGACGCGCGCGAGAGGCCGCGCGCGACCTGCGTCGCGGGCCTGAGCTGGGACTTTGCGGCCGAGGATCTGGCCGAGCTGGTTCGCTGCTTCGACCCGGGCGCCTTGGCCACTGTGTGTAGGGTCATGGCGCAGGAGTACGGGGTCAGGGGCGGCGGGGTGCCTGACCTGGTGCTGTGGCGGACTGGGGAGGAGGAGGAGGGGGGGCGGGATGTCGAGGTGGGAGGCGAGGACGAGGACGGAAATAGAAGCGGGACGGGAGATGGTGCCGGATGCGGGAAGGGGGAGGTCATGTTCGTGGAGGTCAAGAGCGCCAATGATCGGTTGAGCGATTCGCAGCGGCTATGGATACATGTGCTCACTGGGGCGGGTGTTCGGGTCGCTCTGTGCAATGCCGTGGCGAAAGAGGTCAGGGTCGTTGATTGATGCCGAGAGGGCCGTGAATGGGATGGATGGAATCTTGTCAATTCTACGGCAAAGCATCGGTTACGAACCCCCTTTTGGACCGAATGTTATGACGTTGATACTCTGAATAGTATACGCATGCATAGGCCTAAATATAGAAGATCCCCGTACCCTGGGGAAGCTGTTTCGAAACGACTCCGGCGCCTGCAGGGGGTTTCTCTCAACCTCCCAGTCTGAGACCACCCTGGTCATCTGCAGCCCCAGAGGAGAGGGAGCAGTGCTCAGATCCACGATGTTTCAGCATTCGGTGTTTGGGACGTTTTTGTCTTCCTTGGGACACGGCACCCCAGCAAGCAGCAGTGTTTGGAGTGGGCAAAATACTTTGCTCAACAACCTCGCTTTTGCGGTTCAACCCATTTGAGGGCTAATTACCCATCCAACGTCACGGCGCAAATCTCCGCGAACAAGGCCGGCAATCCCTGGCAGACCACCCAGTCGGGTGCGTTCTTTCGGAGAATTATACATCTCCCACCAGTCACCAGTCACCCATCAACTCGAGAGGCACCGGTTCATTTCATTTTTACAGGTCATGGGTATGGTCCATGTTGACAGACGGCCGGGCTGGCATGGGAGTAGAGCTCAAGCAGGTACTGTAATAAGTACAGTACCTAGAAGAAGAAAAGAAGCCTGACTTTCAGGTTATTTCCCCATATTCCTTCCTGGTGAGACCTCGGTAGCTGCCATGCAGATGATTTCAAGAGACACGGGATGGCTGGCTGTTACCTTCGCAGGTTCCGAATAGCCTAGGTGATGGTCTCGCAGCTTGCAGCGGACTCCTGCCAGTAGGACCCGGTGCGTAAATAAGCCAGCAGCGGAGGGGATGGGGACCGGTTCCATTCAACGGCTCGAGGCAGAGGAGGTCCGAGAGGAAAGTGATGAGGGATGCATGCTGGCAGGGAGATGGGCGAGGGTACCTTTTTATACACCCAATATTATTTCCCATCTTGTCGCCGACGCCCCTTCGAGTTCGAAGGGGTCTTGCCGGGCCACTTCTCAGACCTGCCTGCCTGCCTCGATCTCCATCGAGTTTGTCTCTCTCTCCCCTCCACCTCATCAAGTCCTCGACCAAAAGGTTCCATGCGCACTGAATCCTCCCTCCCTCAAAGAAGATGACAACCACCTGCACCTCCGGGCGCTTAACCATCCTCACCACCACAGCCAACCAATCATCCGCCCCCCGCAGAAGTTCCTCCCCACCCTGCAAGAGACGAGCCAACTGCAACCGACAGCAACCCTTCGCCTCCCCCCGCCCCAAACCACCGACCAATGGAACGAAACAGGCGGCACCTAGGCGGGCAACCAGAAATCAAACCACGGCGCTTACGGGTGTGGCCTCCCCCGAGAATGGCCAATCAGCGACGCCCTCGGCGGGAGGCGGTCGCCGTGAGCCATGCGGGCGGATTGCGCTAGGATGGAAGTGGTGTAGGTGGGGCAGGGGCGGAAGAGGGATGTGGTCATTGGTTCGCTGCTTTAAGGGGTATTCCCTTTTTTTTTTTTTTTTTCCATTCCCTGGCCGCCTGCGGGAGGATGTGAGCTGGGGAGGGAGCTTGTGGTATGTATGCACAGTACGGATACATACTTGCATTACAACAGGTATGATGAAGCATTAGGTTAGATGGCCTGGCCTGTAGCCTGACGTGAGCCAGAGGTCCAGATCTTGGTTGCCTTGGCTTCTATCGTGGCCGCCGTTCTCTGCATTCTCCGATCTCGAGGCCATGACAATCAACGCGTGTGCGCGCCTCGCGGCCGCCTGGATGGGCCAGACATACATACATCATGCAAGTGCAGATCTGAATAAATAAACAAACAAACAAACACGGGAGTCAAGAAGAACGAGAGCGGCCCGCGAGGGACGACGGCCAGGTTCGAGATTACTTTCGTGTTTGTGATTGACGCTTTCCTATGCTGTGTACCTAGTAGTAGCAAATAGCCTCGCCGATGCCATTTTCCTTCTCCCCTATCCCGTCCCTGGAGATCTGCACATTGTTTACCCCGATGGTATCAAAAAAAAAAAAAAAAAAGATAACCAAAAAATAAAAAGCCATGTCCAGGTGACGCCGCCAGCAACGCGCCGAACTCCATGAATAATGCCGTCTTCCCTCTGGGATAACCCTCCTCTTTACAATGGCCCTTCCGTAGAGCATTTCCTCGTGTGCCCGGGGTGTGACTGACGTCTGGGACTTCTCTCCCCTTTAAACGTCGCATGGGGGGTTCAGAGATCGGGGAGTTGGAGATCGGCGTGTGACAAAGGAAAAAAGGTGCATGTATGGCGCAGTTGTATCGTAGGTGGGTTGTAGTGGGTACAATTGTTTCCGGGCTCCATTCTCCGAGAGCCTCCCGAGTCTCACGTCTCGATCGCGGTCTCATGGTCGACCTTCCTCCGCTTTCCCTTGGGCACGGGCCCAACCCGCGGAGTGTACTTGATCGTCCGGGTCATGACCTCGCGGATGTGCCGTACGCTCGTCCTCGCCTCGCGCTTCGAGCCACCCCCGGGTGCGCCGGCCGTGGGGGTACTAGCCATCCTAGGGGCGCTGATTTTGGGGGAGCTGGCGGCGGGCCTGGAACCCTCGGCGTGTCGGCGGGCCTTCAAGGCCGCCTCCCAGTCAAAGGGGGAGCGGACCGAGCGGGAGCTCCATGGTGTTTTGGGCGAGGCCACGTTGCCGCCCTTGTTGCGGGTGGCTGGCGAGGGAGGTATGCTAAGGCTAGGGAAGGTGGGCCCAATAGCTGGCGCAGACAGCGGGTGTTTTAGACCGGTGCCAGAGCTGCCAGCTTCGGCAGTGTTGATGGGAGCGACCTTTGGCGACTTGAGCGCATGGTCGCACTTGCAGCTGTAGTCGGTCCCCTCTGAGGCGGCCGTGGACGGTACGCTCTCGCCCTTCTCTTGTTCCGAAGCTGCTGAGTTGATGGTGCTAGTGCTGCTATTGGAGGCAGTCGAGCCGTGGGTAGATGTCCGGTTCAGAGGCGCCTTTGCCGACAGAGGCGGCGAGCTCAGTGTCATGGAGCGGAGAAAATCTAGGTAGGCCAGAGGCGGGGTGATGGGTGTCTTCTCCTCGGTCTTGACCCGCGCGCTCAGCGGGCCCGTTGGCGAGAAGGCATACCCTGCCGAGGCCAGGCCTGCTGAGGGAAGTCCAGCCGAAGGGAGAGGATCTCTCAACATAGACCTTGCCGAGAGAGGTGTCTGGACCGAAACGGCCGAGGGGATCTCGTAGGGACCATTACGGGAAGCATCGCGAGGGAAGTTTGCCGAGACTGGCGTCGACAGCGCCAGTGTGGGCTTGACCAAAGGCATGGCGGGCGGTGGTGTTGGTTACAGGAAGAGAAGCTGAGATGTCGAGTCAAGCTAATGACTCGAGGGCTGCGAGCTGCAACTGACAGGAGCAGCTTGCCTGAAATGGATGAGAAGCAAGCGGGAAGTCGGCAGCTGAGAAGGTGGGGGGAGAAGTGTGCAGGAAGGATGGAGGGCGAGAAAAGGTTATATTAGAAGGTGTGCAGCGGATGGAGAGCACAGCTCCCACGGGGTTGGCAGGGGAGGTTGCGTGAGTGAGCACTAAGATCCCGAAGCAATGGGACCGGGGGCTTTCAAGGCTTGTGACGGTAGTTCCTAGTTGGGCAAATAGCAGCCAGTGCTAGTTGTTTATTGTTCGGGCGTTGGTTCACGACCCTCGTGGCTTGGCCAGGGAAGTTGACCAGGTAGTCGACCAGTGCGCGGGATCGGATGTGTCTAGCGCGGGCTACCAGGCGCCTATGGTAAGCAGCAGGAAAATAACAAAGCAGGAATTACACGTGGAGGGAGGGGAGTAGAGCGCGGGCGCTCTGGAGTGGACGGCAGAAGAGAAGAGGGAGAGACGGCGGCGAGGGAGGGCAAGGAGAACCCCAACAAGACAAGAGATCATAAGCAGGGATGGCTTAAGGCGGCGGTTCGAGTGGCAGGCAGATAGATGGAGAGAAGCGGGTGGTGTGTGCTCAAGGTGCTTTAGTGTGGAAGCACTTGCAGCTCCGCCCGAGTAAAACCAAGGCCCTTCCTCCAGCTTCGCCGCTCCTTCGCCATTGGGATCACTGGATCAATGGATCAAATTGATCGCTGGACGTGGCGGGGGCTGGGATAGTGGGCAGGCAGGTAGGTATGGAGGTACGTATGTGCGTATGCACAAGATGTGATGTAAGAGCTTTGCGGGAGAAAGTGACTGGGCTCAGCGCTTAGGAGGTATCTTGAAAGGGTACTTACTTGGGAACAGGGGTGAGCCTGACTGGGGGCTAATTTGCCCAAATTAAAGTTCGCTGCTGATTGGTCGTGGTCGATGTAACTCTGGAAGCGCGCGATATTCTTAGCAACAGCATTCGCTGATTGGAGGGAGGGCTGCTGCTTACCACGAGACCGCGACTTCAACGTTCTGTTGCTTGACGAGAATATGCCAAGCCTCTCCAACCAGGGAGATGCCAGATGTCTCAATACTCGCTCGTTCCGCTTGTGCGACTTGTTTCACCTTCCGAGATGCTGGGAATATGCCCGAGGTGATTGGCAACGGTGGGGGGATATTGGATGACCGCGAGAGAGAAACTCGAGTTGGGGCCTAGGAGGACGACGAGGACGAGGAATGTGTGGGCTAAAAATAAGGATGAAGACGGCTCAGCCGGTATGAGGTATGCAGTCGCTCTCGTGTCGCTTTCGCCCAGACTCAGAGAGCAATGATTGTGGTCGTATCCAAGTGGAACAAGCAGGCTGTTGGTCCTGTTCTTGCGGGGGATGGCAACAATCATATATGTGCCGGCAGATCCTCCCTGTCGCCCTTCCCCGTCTTGGGTAGGCGCCGGTCAACACTCTCAGTAGCGTCTGGGCAGGCGAGTGTGTGTGCGCATCTCTGCCAGTATCTCTCGAGATATTGGATATTGGAAGTCGTCTTCTCTCCCACTCGCACAGCCACACACTGGCTGCTTCATTGAGCGCGCGGTTCTGTGTATATTTGTCTACTTGCCTCAATCATCTCCAGACCGACCAAGCCAAGTGGCTCTCCAGTTGTAGGTCCAATCCAGCAATTCGGCGCCTGCTTGGGCAGCTATTCGTCAAGGCCAATGCCTGCCAATGCCTGCCAACTTGTTGCAGCGCGCGGTTCAAGATGAACCACTCATCATCCTTCTCGTTGGTCAAAACATTGCTTTAGAGTTTTAGGCTCCAATTAGGTGCAGACCTTGTGCGCTTAGCGCAAGAGGATCATAGGGCAGCCACTGGTCCTCCGGGAAACCAGCCTCCTCCCCTGCCCTGGAATCGATATAACAAGAGCGCGCGCCTGTTTGCGCCGGCCCTCGTGGGGACCATGGAAAGACCGTCTGTACATTTTTCCCAGGATCGAATCACTGTGCAGATGTCCTTCCTCGCCTCGACTTGCTTCCCACCCTCCTACGTCACTCTGAAGCGGGGGGGGGGGGCCGGGGGGGCGGCTTCCAGAAGCTCCCCAAGCTCCTCAAGCTCCTCGGCGCACATGGTTTGCTCCGGAGAACCGGGTCCAGCTGTTTTGCAGCCGCCCGATCTGACAAGTTAGGTTTTAAGCGCTGTCTGACGAACCAGTACCTATCATGGAGGCGGACACGCTGGCCCTGGAGGTGAAGTTGCGACACGAGCTATTGCTGCTGCAAATACCCGTGCTATCTCGGGATGACTCGCATCATGCCCCCTACATCGTTGACCGGCCATCTCCTGCGAACCGCCAGGCATTGTCAAGGTGGAAGGGAGGCTATTGATAGCAGATGCGTTCGGCATCATCGACTGTTAATGCAACTAGCTACCCTGTCTTAACTGGAGAATGGGGGTCAGTCCAGGGTGTCCTGTGCTCCATCTGTTCCGTTTTGAAGCTGTCCATGAGGCACGGCTTAGCGCCAATAACTTTCTGCTGCGCCGTACTCCCGGGTCATTGGACAATCTCAGCGTCACAATATTTATGCCGTGGAGGTTGGGATGCCGGCTGGGGATCTAGGCTTCTTTTATCGCCCGACAAAGATCACCCACCTTACAGGCTCTGTGTTTGGCCATCGCAAGACACGTCCAAATCCCGGGAAATATGCACTTCAGTCATTGGCGGGCTGAGGTGTTGGTGTTGCGACATCGCGGGAGAGGCTGGTCCCTCCGCCCTCCCTGTTTGCCCAACAATCGTCGTCGCCCGGGGGTTGTTCAAGGCTAACACAACAACCGTCCTAACCTCCCAATGACAGTCTCTCTTGACCGTCTAGCCGCTATTGGCATGCGCATGGAGGATTGTATTCGGATCAGAGGCGCCTGTGATCACTTATCCCGGTGACGAACAACATCCCAACCCAGTCTCGCCATGGAACTGTGCCGCCGCCATGCTCGTTGGGAATGCCCCGATACATCGAGAGATGCGCAAGTATCCACATTACGGCAATACCGCCCGAATGCTCAGCCACGTTACCCATCACGCCAACGCTATGATGCACGGGGGAAGGGGGCCATCTCGAACCAGTGCAGAAGATGGGCCGGATTCACTCCCACGCCGCAGCCGGATATGTGCTACTCTGGTTTCCACAGTTTTTGGGATATGATGACTCTATATGCTTGACGATAATGATATGAACATGGCCCAATGCTTTCTGGTGATCTGACAAAGTGCCAGAAATGTTCTCCCTGTCTCTCAGCTTGAAATGGCCGAGGGGGTTCCGAGGAGGTTCCCCTGACGCCATGGTCTCTGGTGAGGCCGGTTGGATTCTGGAGGATTACCACACCATGGTCGCCCATCCCTCCCGAAGGATCCCAACCCTGTAGACCCCATGCGCCCTCTCGCCTCCTTCTCTCTGGCGCTATACCACAAGGACCTGAAGCCATGAGAGCAGCATCCTGGAAGGAACGCCGGGGTGGCAAGCGAGGTCACACAGGGAGGACCTAGGAGGACAATAGGCTTAGAGGACGAACCAACTGTATATACCGAATCCTGATGGCTGCAATCCTCAGTCGTCACACGTGGCATGGGCATATTCCTCGCGCCATGAATGTAGAGAGGGCTGTGGGCGATGGTGAGGGACATGGGCTTCGCCCAATTCATGCCATGTCTTATATGCAAGTGACTAAAGTGTCAGCACCAACATCCCCTCCGCCTGGGAAAAGGGGCGCCAAGCTTGGTTAGTAGTCCATATCGAGAAGAGGTTATCCAAGGGTCCGCAAACGATCCATCCCAACGCCACGGGGGAGACATATGCAACTGATTCACTTCTGAGTTGAACCTGAAGTGTTGCCATGCCCCTTGCCGGTTGCCCCAGAACAAGGGTTGATAAATCAATTAAGTGACTTGGTACAATAACAACAGGGAGTGGTGTAATGGTCGGATGCGATGCTGACCGACGCACCTACGACAGCCACCTCTGGGTCTCGCCTGAAGGCAGGCATTCGATTCTTACAACCACTCCCATTTTTTTTCTTCCTTTTTTCTTTTTTTGAGCCCTACCAGGTAAATAGCCATCTAGCTAGTGGAGCTCTTCTTTTTTACCGTTTCACTCTGTGACATATCATTGTCTATCTACCTGCTTTAACCAAATATTCCCATGCCTGTGTTTGCTTGACTATCTCGTGCGGAGTTATATATTCATCACCCTTGGACGGATGTCTAAGACCATCGAGGGAGGAAGGGAGGATAATCCTACCGGGTCATCGCGCCTCTATCGATATAAGTGAAGTTGGAAGATCATCTCTTCGCACCCGGCTCCACGGAGTACCTACCATTCAGAGAACCCCTGAATCTGGACCCAGCGGGATGTTCGCAAGGCTCGTCACCCGCTTTGGGTGATGATGAGAAGACGAGAGGCTGCTCACTTCAAAAGTATATGGTATCTGACCTGGAGAAGCATAGAGCCAAAGACTATCGAAATACCACTTCCCCTCGTAACGTCGTGAATACGTACGTCCATATGTTCGTCCGTCCCCATTCTCCACCTCCGAGTATCCCAACGATGTCACTCGGCCGAGGCAAACGCATGGCCCTTGCTAACTCTCTTCCTTGCCACAGACACGGCCCCGCCGGAGCAGTAAAACGAGGGCGACCACTCTAGAGATACTCAAGTCCACACTCCCCTTTTTCCTCACCCTGTTCTCGACATCCCCACATCGACAGTTGACGAGAGGCAAATACCGCAATCACGGCCCAGCATCGACGGCCCTTTTCCGCATCGTTACGTGTACGGCCCCACGCAGAGAACGCCAGTCGGGTCCACATACGTTCTCTTGACGAACTTCAGGCGGATCCCATGACAAACCCCCCACGGCATACCGCTCGTTGAAGGGACTTTGGGAGGAAGCAGGATCGGGGAATATATATCGATGGAAACAGAGTACAGCCCAAGAGGGACTCGCCCATGGCCAGGGCACCTCGATAACTGAGGTGCGGCGACCAGGGGACGAGCAGGGCGTGCCTGTTCGTCATGGCAGGCATCGTCGAGCATGTATTGAGAAGAGGGATCTTATTCAAGTCAACTAGCGGGATGCTTGGGAAAATATGGGGGATGCCACTTGTCGGTCGTCCACGAGGTAGGTCGGTGCCTGAGTGGTGATACGGGCTATCTCCTCAATCTCCCCTTTCCACCTACCCGTCA